AATTTCACGCGGAAATATGCAATCCTCTTCTCAAGAGGGATCAACTAAATAGGTCACATGGCTATGAATCACCCTGTATGCCTTGCCCTGTATATTCCAGCTTTAATTTTGAATGTTGTTGGTATTTTCGGGGTGTTATACTTCTATAGTTTTGATGGTCGAACTAAATTTTTGTTTAGAAATCAGAGTTAGCAGTTTTGTGGTGCTGTTTATTTTACATCTTTTCTATCTTGAATATTTTTGTTATCTTCAAAACTGTAAGCGTGACAGCTCTTCCCGCTAAACCTTTTATTGGGTCGAAAATGACAGAACATGACGTCACTCTGACGTCATTTGTGACTAACCTTTTATAAGAGCTCTGGAAAAATTTGGTCACAAGGTGTAAAAATGATGCCCGGAGGGGTCTTGAAAGTTTGGTGGCGACCTACGCTATACTTTAGGAGATATCGACTGAAAAGGAGAGGGGGCTGTTTCGCGCCCCCTCCCCCCCCCCCAACGGGGCTCGAGGCTTTCAGTTGTTGCTCTCACATAACTCTTGGTTATATTACAACGTAGTGGAATTGCAAGTGGCAATATAAGCTTGCTGCCAGCGCCGGACCCGAGTTTAAACATGCAGGCTGAATTTTAACATTTGACTTTAAAATTTTTACCGTTGAGCTTTTTAGAAGTTGTATGAACTGCTCAGCTCCTTTTTTGGTCCATCACAGCGGGCTTGTGTGTCATTTGTCAATCAAAATCGAATTAAAAACTTTTTATTGGGTCTGGTTACCTCGCCAAATTCTTAACTGAATCGTTTAGTAGCTTTTGATTGGGCACTGCCAACGTTGTCTGTCAAACTTTTTGTGTCAACGAGAAGAGGCTGCTGACATCGTTTGTCGCGGTTAGATAATACCTACCAATCCACGTTCCAGTGTGGCTGGTCGATCGCACTTTCCCTGGCCCACCTCTCCCACCAGGCTAGGTTTTGCCCGGCACAGCCCGCACAGCCGTCGCCTCAGTGCCTCGGGCGGTGACCCGTTCAAAGGGGCTCACAATTCGTATGGTGCCGTGGCTCTCAAACCAACACAGAACGGTGAAACGCACAGGCTAACCTTCCATATAAGGCGAACGGCTGATTCTGGCGCCGGGGCTTCATTCATGCTAAGGCGCCCAATCACAGCGCCGCATTTCAGTTAGTGTCGGGCGCAAAAGCTGCTATGCTCCGCCCCTCCATCACGTGACCCTGCCCTCACGTGGCCTCAGTCACGTGGTGTTTCCACTTCTTGGCGCATAGCGGCGCTAGTCTCGCAAGGGCGGTGGTAGCTTGCTCCCCCGCCGTCCGGGGGTGATGGGTAGCAAGTGCTGGTGACTGTACATGCCAACTTTCAGCGCAATCGGCCAAGTAGTTACCGAGATATTGCAACAATTACAAAACGGACACCTCTTCGTTTTGCACGTGGCACGTGCATTAGGGGTCACCCGCATGCATCGGGAATAGTCCAATACTTGGTAGAAGGAATGAAGCTACCCTACAAAAATTGCCGCGTGTAAATCGGTCAAGTGGTTGCTGAGATATAAGCCTCGCAAAAGCGTGACCAGACCACGGCCGGAGAAATTTCCGTTAATCTTAGGAAAGACTACGCTCGCTTCGCTCGCTCCGTAATCATGAGCGATCCACACATCGCGTGGCGTGGTTGATGAAGGATGTTAAGTCGGGAGGGGGGGGGGGGGGTGTTCAGACGCCTTCCCCCGGCCTGGCGCTGGTTAAATTGTTTGATGCAAATGTCTCGGCCTTTCGTTCTAATGCTCGTAATTCGCACTAAGATATGAAGTTCGCCCATTACCGTTCAGAATCGCCGTGGCTATTAACCCACGAGCCGCTGGGGGGGAGGGGGGGGGGGCACTGGCGGATCCAGACCTGCGTTTTTTTTTTGGGGGGGGAACTCATGCCAGGAGCCAAACCTAAGGTACCCCAAAATCCTGTTTTCTCATTGGACTTAGGCCACTTATTTTTCGTCACAGCCCTGAAACGATATTTTTTTTAACAAAAAAAAAATTGAAATGGTAGTCCACCCGACCCTTGCCTTTATATTACTTTAAAAACATTCAAATTGCTTCTGTTGACCAGTTAGCCCACTCCGGGTCGGTGCTTGGCGCAGCCTTCGGGGGCCGGGAGGTGTCGGTTGGACACCCTGCCGTTCGGCCCCTGATCAAGCTAGAGCTTCGCTGAAAAAACAAGCGTGTCGCCCGTGAGTAGCGAGAGGAAGCCGATGGTACCCGATTTTAGGGTTCTTGGTTATTGGTTGACCTTCCAGTCTAGGTCACACTGCAGTATCCCAAAATTTGTCGATTTGGGTGCGAACTGACATCCAAATGAAAATTATTTTGCACTCTCATCCCCATTTTTAAGAGCTATTTCCCACTTCCAATTTTACTGACATTTGCATTTGCGTCGATGGTCGTTTTACATCCTGCAATCTGTCACAATTGTACAGGGTGTCCCCAAAAAACTTTACCAAGGATAAATCTCCGACGCTGAAAGTAACTTGGGCGCCACTTTTCCATCCCTGAATAACTGCCAAATCGCTACCAACTTAACAGTGGAAAGGAATTTCTTAAGGAACTTCACTAGCGAATGCTGGAACTTACCAGCAATCAATCATTTTAATGACCAACCCCGGTGCATTGGGGGGGGGGGGGCTAATTTATATGCCGCCCCTGTCGAGTTTCGAATGGGGGGCTTTAGCCCCTGCCGCCCCCTGGATCCGCCAGTGGGGGGGGGGGCATAAAGTTGCCCCCCCCCCCAGCGTAAAGGGACATAAAGCATCCCTTTACGTTTTGTGTGATATCTCCGAAACCGATAAGATATGAACAAGAAATTTGGTATAGCTTCAAATGAATACCTATGGCAACATTTGAGAAAAGTTTGGTGGTTGTAGCAAGATGATGTCACAATGACGTCATAAAGTGTTGTCGTTTGTTTCTAATGTCACTGAGCATGAAACGCGACGGTAAATGAGGTCACAGGTCAGGTCGATGTAAAAATTATCGATGTTTGGCTTGTTCACATTTTGGGCTCTGGCTGCCGTCTTACAAGTCAGATCAGGCTGTTTTTTGTTTACACACTCGTGAACAGATGTTTAAAGGAAAAGGGTCACCTTTAACATGGGGTTTGAAACTGAGATGGCCATCTTGTAGCCCGTGTCCGAAAACCCCGAGTGTCCCACATTGCGGCCGATTTCGGCCTCCATTTGTAGGTATCGGCAATTTTAAAAGAAAATATGCCAGGAATGCGTCCTTATCCCAGGAATGCGTTCTTATCCTGTAATACAGCCACCCGCGGCGAGGCTTTGGTTTTTAACCAATCAGCTCCAATCAGCTCAGCTTTAACCAATCAGCTAATCTGACACAAGCCGACGAGACTGTCCTCTGAAGGCTGATTGGCTTGAGTGTGATGTCATCGCTATGACATCATGCAGAAGGTGCGGTAGAGAGTACAAACATAGTACCAATATGTTAACTAGTTTGACATACTTTTTTTTGCGAATTATGCACTTCTGGCACCAGATTTAAAAAGAACATGAAAAATAATAATGTCAAAATGAAAAGCAACGATATCTTCATATTTCACGAAGGTGGCACTTTTCCTTTAAGATACCTTGAGGGTACCAACTTGTACTTTGATTTTCAGGTCAGGGTCAGGTCATCACAGGTCACGGAAATCTTATATCATAAGTCGGTCACGTGACACATGTTTTATGGTCCATTTAGGCCATAGATTTCGAATTCGGTGTCGCCTGTGTCATTTGAGGCCATTTTCATGAATTTAGCTGATGTCAGGTCACTTTCAGGTCAAGAAAGGTCAAATTTTAAAAGTTGAAATTTTTCAACAAAAAAAAAAAACATGTCTATCGGATGCAGTTTGAGCTCAGGAACACGATGGTGCCATTTATATTGGTGTATGATTTTAAGTTTGTACTGAAAAATTGATTTGCAAAATTTAAAATTGTGAAATTTTTGCTATAATGCGTATAACTTGGCCATTTTTACAGATATCTGGCTAAAACTTGCTTGAGTAGGTCATAAGCATGTGTTCTATCATAAATATTCCAGTTTGTTTTTTGAAAAGTCAAAAACTTTTTGAAAAAAGATAAAAATACACATTTTGAATTTTAATACATATAATTATCAAAATTTAGAAAATCCGAGATAGCAGTTTGATAGCGCAGTCCATTCTGAGTCTTTTCATGCAAAGAAATTGGATCTAGCTTAAAAACTGAGCTCTTGGGAGGGATTTCAGTGGTTCAATGTTTTGCGTCGAAATCGGCCGGACATGACGTCACTCTGACGTCATTTCTGGCCGACCTATGATAGATACGAAGTTCAAATTTTGACACAAGGTGTCAAATTGATGTAGCCGAAGGTACTGAAAGTTTGGCGCTGATACGTCAAGCGGTTTAGAAGTTATTGCAGAAAAACGGGAGGGGGGCTGTGAATAGCCCTTCCCCCAGTGGGGCGCGGGTTAAACTACTTCCTTACCAGTTTTCGGTCCTATATAAATATATTTGGTCCAATATATCGAATATATCGTGGGGAAACTAAGAAACTCCAATCCATGGTTCGACTTCTGACGTCACTGTGACGTCATTTCAAATGGAATCGACACCAAATTTGGAAACAACTTTGGCTAGCTATGCCCCCCCCCCCCCCCAGCGGCTGGCGGGTGCAGTGGCGCGGAGGTCCAGCGGCTGCCGAGCTAATGCTCAATTCTTCACGACACGATTACCACCAGTAGAACGTCTTTGGGGGGGGGGGCGATAAACGAGCGAGCGCGAGGGTGAGTCCTGCACGTGCGCTAGTGAAGATGGACTGGGCCGGGTCGGGCCGGGCCTGGTTGGGCCTGGTACTTATGCTGATATTTTTACGTTAAACCATAAACTCGTATGAGCTCGCTCTTTCGATAAGTATACTATGCCGAAAGTGCTTTAGTTACGTGTTGAGATGAAAAAAGATAAACTTGCCTGTAATATGACACCAGCATTGAGTCGGTTCGCTGACACCACCAGGAAGTAACAGCAGCCCACGAAGCAAGCCATGATTGCCATAGAACGTGGCGTCTTCTTGAGAATGTAGTTGCATAAACGTCTGCTGTTCGCTTTACCTGGAACTATAACAGTTATAGTAAGAGAAGTGTTTGCATTGCTTTGAGATAAGCTGAGCGGTCGAACATGAGTAGTTTTAGGGTGCTACTACCTATAGGACTATACCCAGTACTTATTGTGCTATATATTGCTCATTAGGGCTCGGTGCCAAGGCCCAAAGGCCAGTTTATTGGACAGTTTTTCACTATGATCGGAAGGGAATGCAAGGGAATATTCATTGACTTACAATTGACCATTGAATTCACCTATTAGTGGGGTGCTCCCTGTTGGTGGTCATGCGGATAAATAAAATAAATAAATAAGTTGCTTGAGTTTAAAGTTTTTTATACTTAGACTGGAACGCCCGGCAACTATGTTTGAATTAAAAACTCTGTTTTGACCAAAACTTTGGTAACTGGTTCAGTGGTACCACGGAATATAAGTCTATGACATCTGCCGTAAACTCTATTCCGTGGTGGCACCAAGGGTGGTACCTTACAGATCTGGTCAATGACCTCCCAAATTTCAGTTTTTGCTTTCGCGAGTAACTTCCGAAAAATGATTAACAAAATAATGGTACCAACACGTCTTGTTTGTGCCTTAGCTTCGAATGATAAAATTTTCTCGTTTTTAAAGGTCAAGATCAAGGTTTACCTCGGCTAAGGTGACCTCGGATACGCTTGGATGATATTTACACATAATATCGCCCCGGACCGAACCCGACCCTGATTGACCACATCATAACAAGCCATCCTGACCTCGCCACGGATGCACGCGTGGTCAAGTGCAACATAAGTGACCACGATCTGATCACCGCATCTGTCGCCGGCGTGAAGACCCGTGAACAGCCGACGACAATCACCGTGCGCTCCACGAGGGACCTTAACCAGGACGCGCTCTGTCTAGAGCTGCTCGTCGCGGATTGGTCCGCTCTCTATCAGGCTGACAGCACGGCTGATAAGTGGTCCGCGTGGATGGCAATCTGGAGACCGATAATCGACCGTCATATGCCGCTCAAACAGCTGAAGTTGCGCCACAAGTCCCAGCCGTGGCTTTATGACGATGGAGTGAAAGAGGCCTTGGAGGCACGAGACAGAGCACGGGAGGACAAGGAGCGGACGCCCTGTGACGAGACGGAGCGCGATTTTCGGCTCTGTCGGAACGCAGTGAAATCGGCCCAGTACCGCGCTTGCTCCGAGTACTTCCTCTCGTCATTCAGGCGCTCTAAATCTGCCACCTGGCGCGACATCCGCCGACACCTTATCTCGAGTAAAAAACCAGAACCGAAAGTTGATGGCCCGTTGGTTCAACATGCAGCGTGGTACGACCGACTGAACCAACATTTCGCGACCATCGGCTCCACTGTGGCGGACGGGCTGGCGGCGTCGGACACCGGGGAGAGGCTCCACCCGCGGCCGCCACGAGTCTGCAGCGGAGCGTTCGCCCCGCGGCCGGCGACCCTGCCCGAGCTCTCCGCGGCCCTGCAGCGCATGGGGTCATCCAAAGCGAGTGGAGCTGACGGTGTAACCATCAGCATGCTCCGAATGACGTTCAGTGTTGTCGGGCCACACATCTTGAATGTGATCAACAGCTCCATCGTGCGTTGCGAGCTACCGCCATCATGGCAGACCGCCGTCGTTGTTCCACTGCACAAGGGTGGTGACGTGCATGAACCGAACAATTATCGACCCATCTCGATATTGTCTGTGATGGCGAAGCTTTGTGAACGTGTTGTGTGCTCACAGCTCATGGAGTATCTCATTAGCCATTGTATTTTGTGCCCCGAACAATATGGTTTCCGCCCCGGTCTCTCCACCGAGGCGGCCCTGCTCGATACTGTCACTTACGTCACGAACAATATCGATGGTGGACGCGTGACGTCACTCGTCACAGCTGACACCTCAAAGGCCTTTGACAGTGTCGAGCATGGCCGTCTCCTGGAGAAGCTGGGGTGGTATGGGATCGACCAGCGCTGGTTCCGTGCCTGGCTTGGCGACCGGACTCAGTCGGTCAGGGGCGGATCAAGCGAGCTGCCCGTGACGCACGGAGTCGTACAGGGGTCTATTTTGGGCCCGATTCTTTACCTGCTCTACACGAACGATTTGCCACAGCACGTGCCCCACGGTAAAACAGTGATGTATGCGGATGACGCACAGTTCCTAGATTCAGACACTCCACAAAATCTCTCAGACTTAAAGAAACGCGTAGAAAGCAACCTTTCGGTCACACTGGACTGGTTCACCCAAAACAGGCTAAAAATAAATCCCTCAAAAACAGAGATGATGACTCTCAAATCTCGGCGTTTGAACACTGACCAAGACTTCCACATCCGTTTTGGAAACACCGACATCTCTCCTGTTCAACATGTCAAAATTCTGGGCGTCACCGTGGACACTGCGCTGACCTGGGACAAGCACATATCGAGTATCCTACGGCGGTGCTATGGCGTGCTGATCGGACTGGCCCGGATACGACGTCGCATGCCGCGCGAAACAAGGCGGCTGCTTGTAGAGTCACTTGTGTTCCCTCTTATCAGGTACTGTGTGTCTGTGTGGGGGAGCAGCACGGTCACTGAGCAGAGACGCGTGCAGAGATGCATCAACTTCGGTGTCCGTATAGTCATGGGCTTGAGCCGGCGCGATCGAGTAACTTCGCCACTCAGGGAGCTGGGCTGGCTCAAAGTGGATGAAATGATACGAGAACGCGATCTGCACGTCATGTATAACCTGCTGCACAGCGATAGTGCACCCGACCCGATCCGCTGTCACGTCGCGCGCCGTGCCGATGTCTCCAGCCGCGGCACGAGAGCAGCCAGTGACGGACAGCTGCAAACACCGCGACTGCGAACAGAGTTTGCGAGACGATCATTTGTGTGTCGCGCGACTCGAGCGTGGAACGGCCTGCCTGTGCAAGTGAGATGCGCGCCCAGTTACCTTGCATTTAAGAAAAGAATGCGGAAAGAGATCACAAGACATAACACTCGAGTTTAGCATCTTATGGCCTAGCTGCAATACCGTCAGTGTCATTATTTTTCGTGTTTTTATGTACTGTTTTAAATTTGAGGGATGTGTACTTGGATATTTTTTATGTACTTTAATCTTGAGCTTGACGTGGAAAACTGAAAACCCATGTACTTATGGATGTTTCCGAAATATATGAGTATGAGTATGAGTATATGTAATGTATGACTGTACCGGTCCGTAGGTGCTGACTGTTGATATCGAATGTGATAATCCTGTTGCTCGAACAACTAAAAAATAAAGGATTATAACATACATGATTTTGAATGACGGTGACCTCGAGGCAACCTTTTAACGTAACTAGACATAAACTAGCATCATTTCTCGCATGCAATGCAGAAACATAACTGAAAATACGTTGGATGGCTGAAAGCGTTACCCAGGTCACAACTATCGAGTTAGGCACAAGATCTGGCATGAATGATGTATGTCAAAGGACCTGATCAGACAAGAAAGAGACAATATGTTGTTCAATGGATGGGTGCGAAGAAATGTCCTATCATTATCATTCTATCAATATCTTGTCTTGGAAATGTTACGAAAAATCCCTAATGTTGTATCAACTTCGAGTCCGAGAGGTTCCACGCTTCCGCAACTTCGAGGTGACATACTGGCGGCTGGGCTCTGATATGAGAGAAATGCTTTTTATTTACGTAAAACTCTTCGTAATTATGTTGCATACTAGATCGCCGTGTTATGCATATGCTCAATACCTGATTCTGATTGGCGAGCAGCAACGCCTAGACGAGGATGGGTAGGTAAAAAATTGCATAGCTTACGTATAAGATGGCAAGAATAAGCAACTGCATCAGTGTGTGACTATTTTAGTGGAATACAACTGACTGGTGATAATCTGTTTCATATCGTATTGTTATGGATTGCTCCCAAGATTGTACAGAACGCTGACGTATTATTATACCTACCTCCAATACCCTTTGATTAGCTACTGATTGGCAAACTGTTTTTCCTTGTTGCTTGTGACAGCATGGAGTAATAATGACTTAAAATGTTCAGGTCTGAAATTGATCATATTATTTGACTGTAAAAAGGTTTAGCTATAGCTGTCTCATGAATCAAGAAACCTTAACTTGACATTAAAGGGACTATCCCACCTTTAACATGGGGTTTGAGTTGAGATAGCCAAGTTTGCGGCGAGGTTCAGAAACCATTATCTATCTAGGTTGCAACCCCCGCGGCCTCTTGGTGTTGAAGAAATTCGTTCCCTTCATTTGAAAATGGGCCTTGTACAAGGCCCTATCTTCAACATGGAGCGACCGTTAGTGTGACGTCACCTCGTTTAGTCATTCTGATTTAAATGGGTTTGTTCGTTGAAAAATCGCTTAAAACTTGGTCTGAACTTTGTTTGGTGCCTACAGAGTAAAAAGAATCAGCTTTATGACAGTAATGTGGCCTGGGGAAGGAGGTAATTTTGGGCTGTGACGTCACATATTTGAAAGTTTGTGTTTGGAATATGGGAAGCCTAAGATGTTTAATGAAAAATAAATGCCAGAACCGTGTTCCTGGTCATCCAATCTATAAAGTCGGGCACAATTTAACTGGTTTTAACAACATTTTAGAAGGTGGGATATTCCCTTTAACATACAGCTAGCGGATTTGTGGTAAGGTTTTACAAATAAATTTATGATAACTTTATGGCGACACTTACCACTGTTTTCTGGGGTTTCGGCTGTTTCCAGCTCTTCAGGCTTGACAATATTTTTTACCGTCAAATCTGACATTGCACGGAAGCACACTTTTTGACCACAAACAAGTAATTTGATGTAATGTTATCATGAAGTCAAACGTTTCGCTGACACTTTACTTGGCTGTTTGGCTGTACCGTGTCGTGGCTGTTTTGTTTCAGCTTACCACCAAAAAATGTTAACGTCATTTTGCTTACTATTTCGTCACAGTTTTGAATTATATGCGTCGATATATGTGACAATTATTTCGACATGACGATACAAATTATTTCATGCGCACGCTTTTGATAGAAATCCACCTCCAATTTCTCATCTCATTACGAGCGAGCGAGCGCAGCGAGCGAAGCGAAGTCTTTTCAATATAAGGGGAAAATCTCAGTATGAGCGGCCCGGCCCGGCCTGTAACGCTTTTGAGAGGCTTATATCTCAGCAACCGCAGGACCGATTGGCCTGCGGTCTTTTTTGCTGGGTAGCCCCATCCCTTCTACCCCGTAATTATGTAACTACTTTTGATACATCTCAGTGACCGTCGTGGCACGTGCCACGTGAAAAGTCAAGGGTGTTCAAGCTGTTTTGCAAAAGTAGTGATTTTGAGAGGCTCATATCTCAGCAGCCGCTTGGGCGATTGTCTTGCGGTAATTTTTGTAGGGTAGCTGCATCCCTTCTACCAAAGGTCGGATACTCTTGATCTATGTGAGTGACCCCCACTGCACGTGCAAAATGCAAAAAGAAGAGGTGCCAGATTTGCTCCCATTTCAATAACTCGGTAATTACTAGGGTGATTTCGCTGAAACTTGGCATACAGGTAGGCACCCACCAGGCAATGCATTCTCATGTGTTGCGGTTAGGGTACTACTGCACGTGCGCACGTGCAGGGGGCGTTTCCAGATCTCGAGAACGGCTGGGCCGATTGCGCTCAAATTTGGTACACGGTTGGGAACCGGTTAGTAGGGTGCCGTGCAAAAGTCAGTTTGGACCCCGTTTGCAGTGATTGCACGTGCGCACGTGCAGAATGCCGCTTCCGGATCTCAGGAACGGCTGGGCCGATTGCATTCAAATTTGACACACCGCTAGCGACCGGTTAGAAAGGTGCTTTGCACAAGCCCCGTTGGAAGTACCCTCTGGCCCCTCCGCACGTGCAGGGCTCACTATCTCGCTCGCTCGTTCTTCGCCCAAAAGGCGTTTTACTGGTTTTTATAGGCCCATGAATCGTGAAGCATGAATCGTGAATTGCGAGTGTTATTACGAGGGAGCGAGCGAAGCGAGCGAAACGAAATGTTTTCAATATAACGGAAAAATCTGAGTATGAGCGGCCCTGCCCGACCCGGCCTATAACGCTTTTGAGAGGCTTATACTCGTATGTAACTCAGCAACCGCTGGGCCGATTGGCATCAGCGGTCTTTTTTATTGGGTAGCCCCATTTCTTCGACCCCGTGGTCGACTATACTTGATGCATCTAGGTGACCGTCGTGGCCACGCGAAAAGCCAAGGGTGCAAGCAGTTTTACAGAATGAGCATTTTTGGAAGGCCTATATCTCGGTAACTGCCTGAGTGATTGACTTGCGGTAATTTTTGTAGAGTAGCTGCATCCCTTCTACCATCGGATGCTCTCGAGAGGTGTCACTGCTCCAAAAGCATTTAGACCCATATCTTTTAAACGATATCTCATTAAATCCAGCTCATGGGTGGAAAGGTTTTATGCCATTCGCCGCGTGGCGACCTCTCGATGCAGCACCCCTGCCCTCTAGCCGCGCGCGCCGTGGCGGTATACGTACACCTCTCAGTGCCAGCGTCAGAGCGTCTACCGACGTCGGCCGCACGCGCGCCGCCACGGCGACGGCCTCGACGCCGCCACAACAATCGACTGAGCGGTGCGGTCACGACGGCAGCGACGGTCCCGCTGGCCGACCAGCGCAGCAGTGTGGTGATCGGACGGTGAGTGATCCGTCACACGCGCAGCATGTGAGTCGGCAAACCGCTCACTCAGGAAGAGTTTCCTGTTGAATAAAGAGGTAATTAGGTTTTTGTTAGGCAAGAGATTGAACTATATTGGTGTTAATACTCGTGTGGTTACTTTGTCTGCATGCTCATGATTGAGATGAAGTATAGTAAATTCGTTGCCGTTTAAATAAGCATTTAGAAATTAGCACTGACCTTGAGTACGTAGTCCAGTATTCGTACAGCTTTACCTAAGTACACCAACAATGTGTGTAATCTTACGAACTTGCGAATGCGACCCTCAAATGTTTTTCCAGGAGTATCGTGATCGGCCAACAAATTCAGATATCACGGCACAGCAAGCCTCGCTTAGACCTTGGCTTATCTACTATCCCATCACGGTGCGTTTGATGAGCAGAGTGACATGTAAACGGTACAAAGAGGCGCTCCAAGTGGCCATGGCCCTCGGAGGAGAGTCGTCGTCAGCTCTGATAGCGCTATCGAACAGACGATTAGTGACGTAACGGTCGCGAAAGCGGCGCCTGGGACTGAGATGGAAGCGCGGGGGAGGGTGAGGGGGCGAATCAGTGTTTGACGGTGACCGGGGGCGACGGGCGATCGCGTAGTGTGGTGTGGTCAGGCCTACAGGGGTCTGCGGCACGCCTACTGTACTTAGTGACGCTCGGAGAATCGGTGAGTGTTAATACGTATAGGCAGTTCTCAGTGACTTTTTATAGCTCTCGATGACCTTTGATAGCTCTTTGTATGACTTTTGATGACTCTGACGATGCCTTGTAGCTTTTGGTGACTATCTTGGGTAGGACTCATGATCCCATCGTTCCCCTTGAAACAGGATGAGAATTACCATGGGACCTAAGAATACCTATACTGCTTAATCCACAAAGCAATCAGCGGGCAGGATGAAAAACAAAGGTAGACCTCGCTTCTCTCTCTCTCTCTCTCTCTCTCTCTCTCTCTCTCTCTCTCTCTCTCTCTCTCTCTCTCTCTCTCTCTCTCTCTCTCTCTCTCTCTCGCCCTCCCTCTCTCTTTTTTCTTTCTTTCTTTCTTTTTTTCTTTCTTTCTTTCTTTCTTTCTTTCTTTCTTTCTTTCTTTCTTTCTTTCTTTCTTTCTTTCTTTCTTTCTCCCTCACCCTCTCCCTCTCCCTCTCCCTCTCCCTCTCCCTCTCTCTCTCACTCACTCACTGTTCTTTACGTGTGCGTTGAGACCTAATCTCCTCTCTTTGATGTGTTCGCTTGCTCTAAAGGTAGAGCAAGCAGAGCTCATTTTAGGGCGACCAGCCGTAATCGATGTTTGCCGTCTGATTTGTATCGACTAGTAACTCCACAAACAATTGGGCTGGAGTGGCCCTAGCTAGCTCAGTTCAATTACACAGTAAGTCGTTGTTGAACAGAAGCTCGTCAGCCCGCCTGCGGGGTCACTCAAAGTAGTGGTGACATTCACCGCTCGCCAGTGTGTGCTGATGGGCGACCACGTGACCCAGACCGCCAATGAGGCCGTGCCTTCGATTATATCGAACCTCGCTGACCGAACACTGGATGATTGTTTGCTAAATGATCGCAGCTCGGTCGGACTATGGACATTGGGCACGGGCTTTGGACATTGGGCACGGCAGTTCCGTCACAGGAATAGAGTCCAATGACATGACAAAGCTGAAAAGGGAAAAATGTAAGGCAATACTGATTGCCGAACTTGAGGTATGGTGATAGCCACGGAAACATCAATTAACTACAAAGTCCATAGCATGAGTCTTGAACTTATTAGGTATTGTATGCACTCGAATTTTCAAGCTAAAAAAGATTGAGTGAATAATCAACTGAATTCTTACGAGTACCTAGCCTGGCGTTTCAAAATTACATACCTTCTCTGGCACTTATCGCAATATGATATCACTGATGACGTGGGCGTGCTGAATACCTAGCGGCTAGCATAAACGGCTAGCTATTTTCCCAAAATATTCCGCCTTGAGCCACTACGGGAAGGATCTTTATTTTACAAAGATTCGCTATAATAAGCTATTTACTTCCCATTAGAATGTAAATCTGTCTCGCAAAATTTCATCCATCGCTCCAGGCAGGGGGCACTTCTCGATGCGTATGTACTTACATACCTTCTACCTACCTACCCATCCTTTTACTCTTTACAAAATGTCAGATGCGTTGCTATGGGCAGACAACATGAGTACTGTCATGCTCATTCATCAAGTAAAGTGGTATGGTCATCACGAGACCCCACTTCACCGGTAGCTCGACGGTCTTCCGAGGTCTATTTCACTGATATAATAGAACACTTGATAGTTCAATAACGGATTGATGGTCACCGAGTACGAATCAGCGAGTGGTGTTTATGTGTGTAGTGCACCACTTGCAGTCAAATGTGGTTTATCTAGGTTATTTTTTTCAATACACTTACCCAACTGCATGCTACACAAGAGAGGCGTGCGAGTGCCATGGATGTCAGTATTGCTCATGTATGCGTTGTAGAGTGTAATGGTTAGAAATGTTCATACTATACTTCGGTTTGAAACAGGATGATACATTTTTTTTTTTTTTACTGACCCATGCGAGCCTATGCCAGTTGGTAGCTGGCACGTTGATTGGTTGATACTAATCGGGAATATCAGGTGGTATATCGTAGAGTCGGTCGCCCGTCGCCGCTCGACTGATGGGTCTCGGGAGTCAGCAGGTTCTTCAGTCTATATGTTGTCCGTTATGCGGCTCGCACTGACATCGACGGAGCGGCGCCCATATGTACGACTGCATACATGGGACAGGGGACCTGCGTGTCTGCTGTCCCTTGGCGTGTAGACCTGAGTTGAGCTTTTCGCTTTGATATACATTCACTGCACTCGGCCATAATAGCCGTTTTCACGACGGGTTATCTGGCGAATGCATTTAACAGTTGACCAAATCTGCACCAAATCTCTGTTTCAACAAATACCCTCACATCATGAATTTATTTCATTGTTTTAATCGAAAATAATGCCTGATAACTTGAAAAATCAGGTATAAGCAACTGTACAACCCAAACTGATAGCTTCGAAGAAACACAATAAACCTAATTTGACCGACCAAATCTGCACCAAATGTGAACCAAATGTGTACCAGATAGCCGTCGTGATATCTTGTCGTGAACGGCTAATATCTTGGAATGTGTAAACTCGTCCCTGAAATGGTCGGTTGTGTCGCAGTGGTTTAGGTATTAGATATATGCTTCGAGGGTGCCACATTGTGAGGTGAGCTTTTTAGACCAAATGACTTGTGTTCGGATGACTGCGCATCGCTATCGTAAGAGATTATACCCTTCGAAGAAATGCCGAGCTGAGGTATTCATGACACAATAAACTGGAGGCACGTTCAGTTTGGCTTGCCTTCAGTATTATAGTAAATAGTTAGGTATACGACTTTTCAGAACATTGAATTGGATCTTTTTTTTCAGCACATCACGGATACGTTGGAGCTATCTCTGCCAAAATATGAAGGGCTTTCCACCCATAGCGCTGGCAGGGTTGAACCCTCATCAGGATGTTGGTAGGTTTGCTAATGTGTACCTATAGGCATGTGCTTTTCTTTCGCTCTTTCTTTCGCGCTTTTGGGCACACATCGCTCTTTCTTTCGCGCTTTTGTGCACACGCGTGTTTTGAGCAATTTGCAGCACTTACCCAGAACAGGGTTAAAAATTCAGTTCGGTGTGAACTCACTAAAAACTCAGCATTAGAAAGCAGACTTGGTGGGCCAAAATTACACTTTCAATAACATCGCCACACTCAAACACCTGCAGTCGGCCGGTTCGGTCCTATCAGCATTATGACGACAATTTAACCGGCGATGTGATGACTGATACGTCGTGTTTGTGACAGTCAGGTCGGCCGTCAGCCTCAGCCAGCCTCGTGGCACCTGAGGACATCAACTATTTATTATACGCAATGCAGGGCCCTCACTCCACACACATTTGTAAATACGAGGTGACAGGCCAGCTAGAAGTACAGTCCAGAGTTCGGTTAGTCAGATGTCGAGGAGCAGGTCGATTGCCATTTAGAGTCATTGCATATTCACCTTAGCTTTACAAAACCCGGGGATTCCGAGTGAAGTTGCAAAAGTTTAATGAGTCCTTTAGGAAATGTTTAATGTTTGCCCTCTTGTTTCATTATAAAAGAACTGTGCTAAGGTACCTACCTATGACATCGCTATTCGCTACCCTGGTTTCAGTAGGTACGTTCTAGAAATCCTTGGATGGTATCGATGAATAAGAAATAAGCCACGCGTACTGCAATACAGAGCTTCTTTCTACATCCATAAGTTATGCTATCCTTGGCACGTTTTGATACACCCTGGCTGATTCACTGGGGCTGGGGGAGCTGTGCCTCTAAGGTCACACAGAGGCCGGCACAGCGACGGTGGCGCCGTCCAGTGTTACTGAGAGTAACGATGGAGAGGGCGCTACTGCTCGAGGCGTTCGTATTTTTACCTCCCTCGAACAAGTGAAACATGCCTGCCTACTGCACGATGAACATCACCAGCAAGATGGGCACGTTACAGCACCTTTATCCAGCATTAGCTACAAAATAGTGGTTTCATTTGTGCCGTGAGGTGACATTCACCACTAAAATTGAACTTAAAAACGTGGCCACATAAACGAAAACACCAACAAAGCTGGAATTTGATGGATCTGACGGAAAGCAGCTTGCAGAAATGAGCGGCCGGAATCAAGGTTTAGAGAGGTTTATTATATCAAGGATGGCCGGGCCAATTGACTTGCAGTTGTTTTTGTTGGGTAGCTTCTTACCTTCTACCCACTAACGGACTGCTTAACGATGCATGTGGAATGTGGATGACCACCGTCTACCACTGCACGAGCAACGTGCAAAATGACGAAGTGTCAAGTTATTTCCCATAAGAATAGCTTGGCCACGGATCACATTAGGTGATCCGTGGCTTGGCTGGGCCGATTGCGCCTTTACTTCGCATGTGGGTAGGCACCCAACGGGCGATGCATTCCCACGTGTCATGGTTGGTGTTACTGCACGTGCGCACGTGCAGGGGTCACTGTCAGTCGAGAAAGGTCGGGCCAGCTGGCTTCAAATTTGGTACACCATTATAGGGACCGGCTGGTAGGATGACCTGCATAAGTCAGGTCTGACTTCTCCAAGAGTAGGAATTACTCTCGCGGTCGCTTGTTTGTCGCCTCAAAAGGTGTCTAATTGGCAGGTACGAGGGGGTATCGAAAAGTTCTGATCATCACCATGAATTAGATGTGATAGAATTTTGATTTTTTTTACATGATGTTGATTACTCCTTTACAAGTCACCACACACGACCGCAAACCTATTGCATCGTTTCTTGAGCTGCCTCAGGCGGTCATTGTAGGACCCTCGCGCTGTCCCGTAAATCACTGCTCCACCTGATCAATGACGTCATTTCTGTCCTTAAATCACCGGCCATACTGTGGATTCTTCATCTCCCGTAACAATCAAGAGTCAGTTAATACCCGGTCAGGCGAATTTCTTAGATGCCGTAGGATTTAATGTCCACATCATGTTGTTTCTTCAATCGCAGCTCAGGACGACTGGGCGGGAACGCTGTCAGTGCGGATAAAACATCTTTCTTGGGCTTTTTTGAGGCGATTCTGCTTGAGGCCATCTCACAACTTCTTGAAAAGTGTGCAGTAGTGCTTGCTTATCATTATCCGACCATCATCAAGACAGTCGGTAATGACTATCCTACGCCAGATCCAGAACACTGATAGCATTGACCTTCCATATCGGTTTCTGCATCTTCGCCTTTTAAGAAGGATAAATGTGCCGTGCTTAAACTTCTTGATCATCTTTTTGTCTCTGGATCATGCACATAGGCCCAGCATTCGTCACAAGTCATCAAATGATCGAAGATGTCTTCAATTTCCTAAAAAAGGCCTAGTTTTCATTTCGAAAGGCCAAGACGCATTTTTCTCTTGAACAAAGTAGACACACGAAATTGTAAGCGGGCTGACTCCTTTATCGTCTGTAGTTCTTCGCTGATAATATCTTCAGGCACTGCCAGCATTGAAACCTTTCTATTGCACAATCATCTGAAAGGTCACACGACGATCTGTAAGGATGAGGTCCTCCACTTCCTTCACAGTCACCACCTTGTCAGTCACTGGTAGTCACTCACTTCTTGACTCCCCTGCAAGGGCCATGCAACCAAGTAGAAAATAATTTCTTCATTTTCGGTAAGTGCATGAGATGGGCTTTCCTCGCCATAAACTAATTTCACGTTCTTGATGCATTTTCTCAGTGTGATACCGTTTCAAATGCATTAGTTGGATGACGGTTCGTCCTCAATGGGCCCAATGTTCATCTTTTTTACTTCTAAGTCTCTCCTACATAAGATAAAACCACTTCTCAGGATTTTCTTTGCGGGAACATTGTTCTTAAGTACCAAATATGATACCAACCAAAAATCATTAAAATCGGTCTATATCTTCTATGTTATGATCAGAACTTTTCGATACCCCCTCGTATGTTTCAATTCTGTTATCAGTGACTGAATTGTTTTTAGCTTCCAACGTCTGATGACCATTTCTACTTTTTATTTTGAATCGAATATAAAAATGATTTAAATTGTATGTACATGGTCCGGTTTCCGGCGCCAGACAGTACCTATTAGAATAAACTGTTTTATTCAGGGGTGGAGATCTGTCAAAATTTCAGGGGGGGGGGGGGGGTCCAGACCGGGCAGATGGAGGCGGGCTGGATGCAGTACCATTGACTTACATAGCAGTAATTCGTTTTCAGGGGGGGTCCTAACCCCCCCCCCCCCCCCGAGAACTCCACCTCTGGTTTTATTTTATTTTGAATAAAATATAGAATAAACTGAAAATAAACTTTATTTTCCGGAGGGTTAATGCACGGCGGCGCTCTGTCCACCCTTGCCGCTGCACTCCTCTCTATACCGTGGGTATTGACCGCGCCTTGGACTGAGTGCCGCCATTCAATGACCGTATGTATGTCTCGTTGCCCCGGCAACGGGTTGTGTCTACTATAGTCGTTTTGAAAGGCGAAGGCAACAGCATCGCGACATCGACTATTACGGGGTGCAAACATGCCAACATGGCCGAGCGATGGCGGCGATGGAGGTTTTTACTCGCCTTTGACTTATACACACATAACGATCAACACCCAACACATGACAACATAGGCGTTACTAGGGTCATTTTGTCATATTAATCGCAGTAAAAACATGCCGGCAGAATATGCGACGATATAAACACGTACCTACCTATGTATTGAACAGAACTAGGTAATACTGATTTGGCCGCAACTAGCATGGTAGATAGGCACTAGATTGCTGTGACGGTTCGGTGCACTGTCGATGTTGGTCTCAACGTTTCTTCATGAGACTAGAGTTAAACCAGTTTTTCACTACATACTGTCTGCTTGGCATGTGAGCGTTTTTTGTGCTTAATGTGTTTTAGCTGCTATCCTGCGAAGTGACACAGACGATATGTGTACCTACATTTTTCTTTTCTTTTCTTCTTAATAAACATTCAGACCTGAATGTGGCCGTTCAAGTGTTAAAATCCTTAAACGTATGTTGCAGGTGGAGTCATTTGAGCGTGGTTTTCTGAAAATTTGCGTTGAAATAATATTTGTAATTTGTTTATTTGTACGTGTAAGTTATTTCAGCAATGCTAGGTAGGCAACGAAATGTATTTCTATAAAAATGTCGGTTATAATAACCAGCAGGGGATAATCTAACCGAGTGCATTGGCACGATCGTACTTATGTACTTTGTATGCATAAGATATACAATTGCATGCACTGTGCACGCATGTGTTTATGTATGTCTACTTCTAGTGTCCATTAACGTGCCCATAATGTGCACTCGGCTCCTCGCCCGTCCTCGTGGTCCTAATCGCGAGTGCGCGTGATCGTGCCCGCCGTCGGTATCGGCACCGACGGGCCCTCGTCGACAGAGGTGGTTGCGTCGCCGTCGACAGCAGTGGTCAGTGGGCGCCGTCGGTGGAAGCGTCGGGCCGCGCGCCGGGCCAGACGTGCCTCCGAGTGCGTGTGTGGGTGCGGGTGAAATACAGACAGTCTCGTGAACAGGCGCAGAGTCTGGTGACTACATGGCAAGAATGGCGGTGGCAAAGACAACCCGGTGAACAAAGACAGATGAGCGAGCGGAAAGTCAAACAAACGGACAACTGGTGACCAAACAAACTGCCTGTGACATAGATGGGTAGTCTGGTCATCGGAAGGACAGTCTGGTGAGCAGACGAACAGTCTGGTGAGCAGACTAACAGTCTAGTGCACAGACTGCAGTGGCGTCTGGTATCTGGCGGAAGTGACAGAGTGCGCACACGTGTTTCAGTCGTGTGGACGGCCAGTGGATGTGGGAACCACCTGGTAGGTGATTAGAATTGGAAAACGTGCTTGCTAGTTTATCCACGACCCACGTCAAAGTTCGGTCCTTTTAACTATTCTCCCTGTATATTTATAGAAGTTCATCGGCTCCAACAGGAAATGTTATAGGAAAAGGAAGGTAGTGATAAGCGCTAACCATTTCAATTGTTTTCTTTAAATTGTTTTCAGTCAAGATCTCTTCTCCAACCAAAAACATAAAGCAGTAAATAAAAGCTGAAAGCAAATAATTCATCGTTATGTAGCTTAATGTCCTTTCGTATTACTTGCTCTTTTCGCTCTTTTTAGTAGTAACTATGGAGCCTCTATTTTCTATTAACCCTATTCCTGGCGGGCTCCGCCGGGACAAGAAACTGGCGGGGGGGCCGATTCGGCCCCCCCCCCCTGAGATCTCGAGAACGAAGCAAGATAGCGACAAGCGGTAAACGGCATCGGATACGCACGGCCAAGATCTACAATTTTTACTATGGTCATTTTCAGGTCAGGTCAAAGATGACGTCACAGGGGTCGAAAAAGTCAAAATGGCGGCGCTAGATATGGAGAGAGTTTTTCTCGAATAACTTTCGAATTAGTCAAGATAGGAACAAACTAAGGGCATCATCGTGATCCTCTCGTCAATCCGCATCGAATGATATATATGTTGACCTCGAAAGGTCAAGGTCAAAGGTTGACCTCAGGTCACGTGACCTCGAGGTCATCATGTATATCATTCGATGCGTCTTGACGAGCTGAACACAATGAGACCATCCACGCGTCTGTATCTTGTTCCTGTACGGAGTTATTGGCCAAAAACCTTTGGTGACCTTTGATGACGTCACATGACCTCACAGCTGCCCAACAGCAAAACAGACCTCAAGGTAGTGAAGGTTGATCGTATATGAAGTCATGTATGGTATATGGGGCCATTCCGACCCGTTTTAGTGGTAAAAACAGGGAGTTGATTTTTCCCCCATTGACTTATAATGGGGAGGTCGCGAAATTGACCTGACCTTAGGTCACCGATATCAAAATTCCGAGATATACAAATTGCACATACTGGTACCCTAACTAAACCCTGAAGAGAAGAAATTGATCGGTCAAAAACTCTAGCTCTGGCGTGATTGCAAACTTTTCTGAGGTAGGGTCACCAAACCGCCTCTGGTGACCTGACCTGAGGTCAGATCAACTCAAAATTTTCAGACATGTTGCGTAGAAGCCTTTTAGGAAAAGTCAGAAAATTTGAGCTTCCTAGCTCAACGCGTTTGGGAGAAATAACCAAAAAACCTCAGGGGGGCTCCTGAGGCCCCCCCCCCCGCCAGGAATAGGGTTAAAGCCTCCATTTTCTACAATGGTCAAAAGTTTTTTTTTTGCAATAAGGCATTTGAATTTTGAAGCACTGTATTCGTTGTCCACCTCAGTCGGCATTATTAGCCAGGTGAGGTACAAAAAAGTCCAACATTAGAATGGCGTTGCAAAACCAAAACTCATCCGCAATTTCAAGAGTAAAAAATAAAAAAATGTGTGAAATGTGAATATCAAAAAGGTATCTACCAGCTGCGGCCAAGGCCCTAAAACGCTGTGATGCTTGGCACAAAGGCTTCTTTTTCAGTCACTCACGTGAGCAGTGATCACCTTCATCCCTTTTTCCCTTGCCTTTTCCCGTGTGCGTGAAAAAACACAGCGAACGTGGCGAAGAGCGATATTTGAAGCAGGTGTTTTGATGAGAGAATAAAAAACTTTGTCCCAGTAATGTCCTAGCATTGCTACCCGCATAATTTCTGATAATCTTTATCTCACAAATGCACAAAACCTGTTATCTCCATTCTTTTCGTGAAAATGTTGCATTCGAAAACGTTTAAGGTTTACGGTATGCCTCTAAAAAATACTTCGCCACAGGTTCAAGCAAGCCCTAAACCATTTAAATGTTATTTACTGAGCGATTCCCCAGTTAAATGGGCACTGACCAGGCCCCTTTCCCCCGATGTCAGACCGGCAGGCGCTGCTGGACGAGATCACCTCCAACGGCGAGATCAACGTCTCCCACACGGAGGACGAGATCGGCGCCTCGGTGCCCGCCTCGCCTCCCGAGTCCCCCCGCCGCTCCTCCGCCCACTCTGGCCGCTCATCGGGCCAGTCGGGCCGCTCATCCACTCATTCATCGGCTCACTCGTCCACCCGCTCATCCGCCCGCTCCTCTGGACGTCTTCTCTCGGCTGCCGGAGGGGGTCGGCCTGTCGTCCCCGGCGCGGTGGCCTCCACGGTGGACTCAGTAGGGGCCATGGAGTCCGGCTCGCTGCGCGGACTGGACGCAGGCTCGCTGCCCGGACTGCTCATCGAGCCGGAGGAGAATGATCGGAAGATAGACCTGGACACCGTGCGACGGGCCACCGACGTGCAAAATGTGAGCGGGGGCGCCGCCTGAGGGATGGAGAGGGTGCTGTGGTGCGGGGGGGAGGGGTGGAAAAGCATGATTTCATCATTAAAGATATATATCATTACGAATGCACCGGATCAATATTATGAGACATTAAAGAAATGTACCTTTTCGTAATTGTACGCTAATGCATGCCAATGCTATTTCCTCGTCACACTGAATAAGCAGATTGCAGACCTTCTGGCTGTTAGTGCCAAGCGGCTTAACTAAGTCTATCTGTATTCAATAAACGCCTGCAGCTATGCTTTTCATGCAAGCAAAAGCTACTTTTTAGGATTTTCTGCGTACTTACACAGCACTCACTGTTTGAAGTGACGTTAAGGTCTCCAAAACATTATCACGCACGGTGCAATTAAAAGAGCAAGATTGAGCTTAAGCATCACGCTACAAATCAATGCGTGCGAGATGCATTTCACGCCGTCGCTGCATGCAGAAAGCGTTCAATTGTATTCTCCGGAAAGCCGGTTCGCCGGCGGTCATTGCATTGCACTATATGGTTTGATTGGCTTCACAATCGCCTTTCAGAGTGCCTAACGAATGATTTGAGACGTTACACATCCTTGATTTGAGACATTATTGCCTGCTTTGACACATTTTCGCCTGCTTACACCGTCACCTGCAGAATTTCACCGACCTCAACATGGAGCCAGCCATGGAGCCGAATGAGGTGGGTTCTGTGTCATGGAAACAAGTCGTAACTGTGCCAATTATTGCCCTTATTATGCACTCGCAGTTCGCACTTCTTACTCTACTAAACGCTGCCTTTGACACGGACTAGCATACTCGTTAGGAATTTATCTAAGCCATAAACTTCAGCGTTTATCTCGTGGGGATAAACATGCGAGATTTAAAAATTGAATTGTCTAAAATGTGATGCTGACGAGCCAGGCATACCAGCCTGGGTAGTTTGAATATTTTGAACCCCTTTGCCAGTCCATGTGTTTCATGTATCTGTATCTTCTCACCCTCTCACTAACAGTGCCTCGTCTGATTCATGACGATCTCAGGTGCGTCGGCGAGTCGACACGCAGTACTTCTGGGACAACAAGCGCAAGATCGACATGGTTCTGGCGTTCCGTGAGGACGACGACCTGATCCGGGCGCACAAACGAAAAACGTTCCAGGCCAACCTCATCAGCGAGGGACTCGAGCTCGAGCTCGAGGATAAAAAGGTAGAGCTGTCAATGTAATTAGTATAGAGAAATGTTCCTTGATCTTGTTCCCGTATAGTAGTTTAGCTAGTATGTTGATAGTTGAAGTAGCCATGTGTCACCTTTTGAAAACCCCGGTGAATTTTCTTACTGAGCAAATTTCCCGAAAGTCGAATTTCAATCGCTCAGTTTCGTTGTTCCAGCACTCGAGTGACGGGAAGACCTACTACCTGAAGGTGCACTCACCCTGGGACGTGCTCACGCGGTATGCGGAGATCATGAACCTGAAAATGCCAATCAAGGTGAGTGGCAGAGGCCGGCTAAAGGGGCTTCCATTTGCGGTGAAGCACTGTGTGGTCTAGATGGTTCTGCGACACCTGAGCGAACGTCATTTCAGCGAACGACATTTGAGCGAAACATTTTCAGCGATTATCAATTTAAGCGATTGACTTTTTCAGCGATTGTCAAGTCGGCGAATTCAATCACAGCGATTATCAACTTTAGCGAGGACCAGAATCAGCGAAACCAGATTGAGCGAATATATGGTGGTCAGTGGGAGACCAATTGAGCGATGCAGTTACAGCGAATGACCGAACGCGACGAAAGTCAATCATTTGCTACTTTTCGGAAATTTTTGCACCTCTTTACGCATCATTTGAATTTTGAAGACACATATGTACATCGGACGACCAACAAGGGGTGCATGGGAGGGGAAGGAGGCGGGCAAAATTTGAATTGAAAATGTGGAACGTGAGAGATAGGGCGACGGAAGGAATGCCAAGGACCAATAACCAGTATAACGCCTTATGGGGCGACTAACGGAGCGAGCGAGAGGGTGGGCCCTGCACGTGCGAAATTTCGAGGGGGTACCTCCAACTGACTTGTGCACGGCACCCTACTAACCGGTCTCTAGCGATGTGCCAAATTTGAGCACAATCGGCCCAGCCGTTCTAGAGATCTGGAAGCGGCACCCTGCACGTGCGCACGTGCAAAATGGGTCCCAACTGACTTGTGCACGGCACCCTACTAACTGGTCCCTAACCGTGTACCAAATTTGAGCGCCATCGGTCCAGCCGTTCTCGAGATCTGGAAACGACCCCTGCACGTGCGCACGTGCAGCAGCACCCCAACCCTAACACATGCAGATGAATTATCTGATGGAGACCTAACTGTGTACCGAGTTTCAATTCAATCGGCCCAGCCGTTGTGCCGTTATTGAGGTTGCAATTTTGGGGGTTCTTAAAAAATGTCCAACTTTACCACGCGCCACGTGCGGTGGTTGGCAAGAACGCATGGTGGCCATCACACCACAGAACTTTTACGTCCAAGTGACATTCAGTAAAGAAGACCGCTTGTCAATCGGATGTCCCGTTCCTAAGATATTAGCTTTTGAAGAGCGTCCCCACGGCCGGCCGGCCGCTCATACTCAGAAATTTCCGTTATTCTACGTAAGACTCCGCTCGCTTCGCTCGCTCCGTAATAAACTAGAGAGATGGCACAGGGGAATCCAGTCTGTTTCAGGGACCTCACCCAAATATCTGGAAATTCGTACGGTGCTTGGGGGAAGAACACATTTTACAACATGGGGAACTGATCCAAATTCAAGCGGGGCAATTTCGCGAAAAAAGCACAAGCAATATTGATTTCTGAACAAACGTTTGGTCACCAATATTGACAAAGAGCAGGGTGGGTTGGGGTGGGGGTGGGGGTGAAATTGAACCGTTGGAATTTTTGACAAATGTAGCATTAAATTTGGAGCTCAATGTCTGACCTTTGAACGCACGACATCCGCCATCCAGTTCTGGATAACCATGGGAAATTCCGGAAACATTCGTACGCATACGCTCGCAAAAGAAAAAATCAAAATCACCGTTACAAGACGATGAAATGTTTCGCTGAACTGACAGTCGCTCAAATTGTAGTCGACGAAATAGATGTCGCTGAAACATAGCTTTCGCTAAAATTGATAATCGCTATATTTGATAATCGATGAACTTGATAATCGCTGAATTGCCATTCGCTGAAAATGGTTCGCTCAAATGACGTTCGCTCAAATGACACTCGCTTAAGTCGCTCGCACCGGGTCTAGATAGGCCGTTTAGCTACTGCCATCTCAACTGACAAAGACTGGCTCACACTCTGCTGCCAATAACGCCCCTTGTGGGGCCTGCATGCTAACATGCATTGGATTGATACGGTGGATTTAATTAAAAAGAAGATAATCACAAAAAATCTGTCAATCGTCGTTAGTTGCTATAAAATCCGTTAAGGGTTGAATAATATTTCACTAACTTTCATATCATCTTTGTAAAAGAAACGAAAGCGAAACCTTTTCAATAGTGAGCGATGCAAAATTGTTGACTTTAAGAGTCATGCTTGAGTTTGACGCTTGCGCATGTGTGAAACGTTAAAATTGCCGAACGCCGCATAGCTCTTAATAAATAATGTATCTATACATTAATAATTTCCTGCATGAAATAACTGAAAAATGACTTAAGCTTAATTGCATCGCGTGCATTGTATGTACATACGTGACGTTTTTAGGTCACAAGTGTGTTTGCGTGCTTTTTTCCTGCCGTGAGTTTTTACGCATCGGACTAAGCCCTTTATACAATCCCGATGTAAGTTTTTATCGCTGTACCGATGCGCTGTTACAGAAATTTGTGGTGGTGAACCATGCGTGGGTAAGTGGTTTGATATTAGATGTCGTCGATATATGTACTATTTGTGTTTCTTGTTGGGTACTCGGTCTCGATAATTCACCGTTCGATGCCTTGCCACGCTACAATGCATCTTTGCTTTCCATCGGCATCTTACGGGTTGATTTCAGTCTCGATCATAAACTCTTTCCTTCCATGGATACGATGAGATTGTCCACATACTTGCTCCTGGGCGTGGTCTTCCAGTCTCCAGATTCCGCTCGACTCAAATAGAATATCTGACTACATATTGTGTCATGAAATATACCTTTAATTGAATTCCAAAAAGTAGCAAAATTTTGATATAAGGTGCAGCAGATGAAGCATACACATGGTGTACAAATGTAGCATGAATTAGATAAATCCAAGCTGCTACATTTATTGTTTGGATACTTAAACTGAATGCAGCATGATCATTACAAAGAATATTGCACTTAATATAACACCTTGCTATGTATGCATATGATTATTTTCATCACCGGCAAAAGGTACGGTAATTATCTGATAAGATTTCTTGCAAGAATACCTGTAGCAAGGATAACAACGCATGCATGTAAACTGGGGTATGGAGAATCGGCTTTTCTCACTGTTCGTCACCTGACACGTGTATTGATGACGAACGTTACGCATCACGATAATTACGATAAGGTCATTACGCATGTGTGCATGCAATATATGTCAAATTTTTGGCATCTAACGGTGTATGGATGGATGATTCGCCCTCTGTTGTGTCTCAATCTAAAATGTTCAGCAACGAATGCGTTATGTCTGAAATGATTGCATGGTTTAGTTGTTAACAGAGTTTTGTGATTGTAAATGACAAGACGCAGCCTTTGTTACTTATTTATTTTAGTCGTTTTAATCCTACAAAATAAGTTCGAATATGCAATTGACTCTGCTCTAAATTCCCGTGTAAATTAAAGCTTCACTCCTAATACAATACGCTTGACTGTTTGAATCGATGATGTATTCCTATGTTGTGCAAAATTTCAAGAGTCAATAGATCCGTGCGCTCCCTTGACTTCGGGACCCTTTGTATTCTCGGATGCGGTGGGTGGTGGTCATTGTTTTTACTCTGAAATAACCCGTGCCAAACTGACACAAATTCAAATCAGCTGCTGTTGCATGTGTCAAAATCCCCTGTTGATGTGTTTAAAGTGCATGCATGTTTTATTATGTGACTGTTTGCTAGACATTCACTGACGTAAAGTGGTTTATATCGCCAAGTGATGTCAATCTCTCTTGTGACTGGAAATGTGACGTCGCTGGGCTTTCATCTTGAAGACGTATCCTGAACAGTTAATACTCATTGTTAGGGGACAACTGACCCGTATATAGCATTAGTTATTTCGAGCAGTGACCGGACTCCTCAGTCGTGATCGATCTGTAACACCGTCCCCACGAGGATGACCCGTTGACCGGTCTGTGACCCAACCGTTCCCAGGAGGATGACCCGGAGCCAGAGCTGAAAGGACCGCCCTGCTGTCGCAGCATGGTGCGCAACCCCTTCATGTACAACACAGACCTCATTCCGCCGGAACCAGAGTACTTTACGGCCGGCTTTAACCGAGACCGCGAACACCAGTAAGTGGCCATCACACCAGAAATAGGTGAATGGTCGAGAATCATTACAGAGACGTAGAGAGAGACGTATCACTGTAGAGACGCAGTTAGCAGGATCGCCGAGGAAATGCATCAACTGTACTGTTTTTGCGTAGGGCTGGTAAATTTAGCGAATGCCCTGTCTAAATGCATTGTTTGTTTTCCAAATTCAGCAGCCTTGATATCATTGCAGCGCATCATCTGTAATTGTGTGGGATGTTTTTTATGGAAAGGGATTTATCAACTGGGTAGCTGATTGTCCCACAACGCTGATTAATTAATGGAGCGCCTGGATACCTCACTACGACGAGTGTGATAACAAAGTTCGAAAACAGCGAAAAGATTCTTCACAAATCTTCACAAATAAACGCAATGTGGTAAACACATGCTGCACGGAGTCTGTTGGGAGGCGAACAATTGTTTGGCAGCACTGAGTCTGCTGGGAGTTTTGATCCGAGCTTCCACAACCCAGCATAGTCCACACGAAACGGTTCAATGTTACTACCGTAACTTTTCACTCCTGTCATTTCTACGTTTCTGTCTGTCAGATTCGTCATCAAGAGCCGCGAGACGTTCTTCACGTCTGCGCAGCGCTCTCAGATCGTGTGGCAGATTCTGATGCGGACGCGCTACTCGGACGCGCAGAGCAAGGACCGCTCCAAAGTGGGCATTAACCGGCTGCTGAACAACGGCGCCTACCTGGCCGCGTTCCCGCTGCACGACGGAGGGTACCGCGAAGGGGCCACCTGTGGCGAGCCGCTCAACGACAGACGGGTGCGTGGATTCGGATGGAGACGCAGGGGTGCGCGATGGACCGATTGGTAATGGGACAGTAGTAAATGTGATAATGCAGCGTCTCGTAGTCTGTGGATGGAAATAGCCTGTGACTTTTAAATTTTTGAAGTAATTTTGAAGACAAGCAGTTGAATGTGGGATGTTGTGCAAGATAGTTCGTAATGCTATATCAATATCGCAATGTAATGCAACCACTTCGAAACTCAATGCTGATCCAATATTTTCCCTTCTATGCATTTTCTATTTTTTTCCGGTCTTAGCAATGTTAGGCCTTTCAAACAACTCCAGCGGCAAATAATGTTTAATGCTTTATTTTTGACGACAATCCTCTATTTGTGTTCTCAGCTGCTGTACCTGGAGTGGGGTCGGCCGAAGGCGGCGCTAAAGAAGCAGCCACTGTGGCTGGTGAGGAAATACTTTGGCGACAAGGTGGGCCTCTACTTCGCCTGGCTGGGCTTCTACACCGGCATGCTGGTGCCGGCCGCCCTGGTCGGCGTGTTCGTCTTCTTCATCGGCCTGTTCATGATGAACAACGACGTCAACTACAACCCCAGGTAGGACAAACGGGCGAAAATTTAGCAGTTAGTGCAACAGGCATTGAATGCAAGTCCTGTGTTGAAATGCATTGATTAACAGTTTGAGGCACTGATCTTATGTACTGTTTTAAATCAAAAGTATGTATCGGAAGCCTTCCATTGAATTGATCACCAGTGAACAGAAAAATAACACCTGCTGCTCTTTCCTTTCAGCGTGGAGATCTGCAAAAGTGACATCGTCATGTGCCCGCTTTGCCACAAACTGTGCGAGTACACCAATCTGAGTGAATCGTGTTTCTTCTCCGAGGTCACCTACCTGTTCGACAATCCCGCCACCGTGTTCTTTTCAATCTTCATGGCGTTTTGGGGTGAGTACCAGACAGTGCAGTGCCGGTCGCGGCGACCATATAGTTAATCGTGACTCGCGAGTCGATGGATTTTCGGCGACTCCGACTCCGACCGACTCTGACTCCGACTCCGACCGACTCTGACTCCGACTCCGACTCCGACTCCGATTACGCAGCCCTGGTTAAATCGTATTACATAAACACAGGAATATATGGTAAGAGTATGCCGTATTTAAAGTTCGTAAGCTGCACTGGACATATGAAGGTATCTTACGTTCTCGCTGTCTTTATGTAATAAATGGTAATTGCTAAAACAAAATGCTGAGTGACCTGAAAGATACACCGTAAAAATGGTTATGTCTTAGCGTGGCTTCCTCATCAGATAAAATATCAATGACGCACGGCACTATGAAGCGTGTCGTGTATTATGCATTCCAGTCGTTCGCACTCGGGTCATAAAGGACACGGAATGCGATAAAATCACTGTCCAGGCGAACAATAACCTCAGGGCATAATGATTCTGTGACCGAGGTATATTACGTTCAGACTGGTGGGTGCCGGGAAAGTTCTATTGTTAGGCATATTCTCAAATCGGTAGTGATCACTTCCAGTTGCCTCGGAATTTTTGGTTGTCATGCACATATTCGCGTGAACAACTTACAAGGCTATTAGTGTCGTGCGGCACAATCTACCAACGCACGTTTAAGTGTCATGCGGTGCAATCTACCATCGCAAGTGTTAGTGTCGTGCGGTACAGCATACCACTGCAGGTTTTAGTGTCGTGCGGCACAGTCTAACAACCCAGGTTAAAGTGTCGTGCGGCACAGTCTACCTCCGCAGGATGTGTCATGTGTCGTGCGGTACTTTTTACAATCTACCATCGCAGGTGTTATAGTGTCGTGCATACCAGCATACCATCTCAGAATTGCGTGTCGTGTGGTACAGTCTACCAGCTTTTAGTGTCGTGCGGCACAGTCTACCTCCGCAGGTGTATTCGCCGTGCACTGTAGTCTACCATCGCAGGTTTTTATGTCGTGTGGCGCAGCATACCAGCTGAAACCCCTTTATCAGCTCACGCCAATCCACCTTTGCCGTTTTCGGCCATCAAATTGAGTCGAGTGTCCCATTATCGGAGAAACGTCTGGCCGCAGTGACACCAGTTGCCACACGCACACCTGCCTACTGCTCAGACCGAACCGGCGATGTTTTTGGCGGTGATCGATTCACCTCACCTCTCCCCAGTGACCTCCGGTGTGCTGCATCATTTCCTCGCCTTCCCTCTTCCGTCTCTACCCCTCTCCTGCCACATTCTCTGTGCCCGCACTCGGCACCGCACCGCTCGAGCCGTGCTCAGTCCATGAGCGCGGCATGCCACGGTCAATATGGGTCGGTAAAGAGCGTCGCTCAGTGCCGAGACCGGGGGCGCCGCGCGCTATTGACCTTGCACGCTAGCCACGACGTGTGACGGCGATCGAACTGCGACGGGACCTGGCGCGGCGGCGGCGAAATAATGGCCCTCCGGGTGGCGCCACGCCGGCCACGGAGAGTGGCCGCTGCACTGGGTCGCCCATTGGGACCTGGGGACCGCGGCGCTGTTTGTTCGGCAAACAGGCCGAGTGGCGCGTGAGAATGCCGCCGCCACCTGTGTGCATTTATTGATGTCGCCGTCGTTTGTATGCGTGTGTGTACTGTGTAGTAGTTGTGTGTGTCTGTCCCGCCACCACCCGTAGGCGCACTGATGAGTTACGATAGCAGTGACATGTTTTCCTACAGCGGCCAAATATCAGCTAAAAACTGCGATGTTTGCCCTCGGGACATGGCATAGGAATAATTTGTTTCATGTGTTGGATGGCTGGCTCATGCTGTGTTTCATACACAGACGACCGACAGCCAGAACAAATACACCGTTGAACCCAATATCAATTTCGGTCTGTGGTTTAATTAAGGTATAATGCACTCTTTTGGGAGAAGATCATATGTTTCATGAAGAAAACATTTATTAAAATTGTATGTGCTTTTTTATTTACAAACTTTTGACAGATATTGTAACTGCATCGCACATCTCTCTGCAGCCACGATGTTTTTGGAGTTTTGGAAGCGTCGCCAGGCGGTGATTGCCTGGGAGTGGGACCTCTCCAATTATGAGGACGAAGAGGACGCGAGGCCGGAGTTTGAAGCTCAGGTAAGTCTTCAAGACTGGCAAACATGTACTAAACATAAACATAAGTGTTCGGGGTGAAGACAATAACCTATGAAGTTTGGGAGGTTTGCTGCGTGTGTCTAAAAGTCAACGTGTAGAAAATAGACGCATTCTGCGTAGCCGTCGAGTAGCAATTAACTGCTGACCTTACAAACCTTTCGATGAACATATGCACTCTCCGATGTTGTTATTGCTATTTCTGTACAAAAAAGTGGTGCCCGATGGGGCGCTCTAGTAATCCTCGGAAAGTTGCCATGATAAACCATGTCTTTTTAATGTAAGTAATATTTATATATTATATAATATGTTCAGAACAGCCAACGTTTCTTGACAAGTCATGCTTTGCTGGTGTGGTTACCATAATGTGTATGTAGATCGTAAAGCAGCGAGCCTGGGCCACTTTCCAGTCTCTGGGGTGAAAAGTGATTACCCATTCTACCCTCCTCAGGCCACTTCGTTCCGCATTAATCCCGTCACCAAAGAAGAGGAGGCGTACATGACGATGAGCAGCCGGTTCTGGCGAAGGATGGCCTCGGGGACCATCATCATTTTCATGGTAAGGCACCACTCGGCACACTGGCAGTGTAATAAATTATCAAATATTTTTCCGTCAATGAGTGGTGCCCGTTCATCATTATGACTGTTTGCCTTCGCTCAACGTCGTTACGACGTCATGCCGAGGCTGCATGACGTCATTAGTTCAGTCGAGGCATTGGCAACAGACAAGGCTTCGTTATCGGGGCAAAGAGCACTTTGTATGAGGCTGGCGAAGGTCGATGCAGAGTGAATGAACCAATGGCGTGAAAGAAGTTAGTGATAAATGGATATGGGAAAGCCTCCACGCTCGGAGTGCTAGAGCACTCATTCGTCAAATGAGACAGTTCAAAGGTCAAATGTGACAGGCGAGGAACCTTTGGAAGCCTGCGGCGTATAGCCTAGTCTCAGTGATAACGTATTGATTGCAATTATCGCAGCTTGGTCGCCGCAATAGCTCGAATACATGTGCGCTGCATATGAGCTTGCACGCCATTCATCTCAGCTATGTAATTGTCGTTCACTTTCCGATCAAGGGATCGGCTTCTTGGCATTACGAGTAATCATAATCAGTTACATCGCTACCGGTCAATATCAATTTATTAATTTCATAAAAGATAACAGCCCTGATTTTGGAAAGATTTACACAAGTTAAACTTTTCTCTTTGATGAACCAATGCTTTCGCCAATCAATAAGCAACGAAAATGTCTTGTAGCGAATTATTCAGCAACGCGACAGAGTTTCACCTCGAACGTCAAAATTCAGTTTCTGTGGCTGCCTCTCACCCTCCGTCCCCGTTGCAGTTGTCGCTGGTCATCGCCGCCGTGTTCGGCGTCATCGTCTATCGGCTGGCGGTGATGACGCTCTTTCAGCAGACCGGCGACGTCTTCTGGCTCAAGAGCGCCAAAATTGTCACCTCCATCACAGCGGCCACGCTCAACTTGATCATCATTATGATAATGAACCAGGTGAGGCGGATACGTATAGCACCCGAGGTGATTTTTAACAGCAGTCTTAACTGAAACGGCTTAACGTGTTTTTTTTTTGGGGGGGAAGGGGTGCAGTCGATCGCTAAACGTGACCCATTCCATAAATATACTCACCACAACATAACGAGCATCAGCCGCCCGTCTGGCAGACCAAGCACACACATTTTATGGTATGTGTAACTGTACCACGGCTGCATTGCTCCACAGTATAAAATACCCTGTACCTACAGCCCGCCAGTAGGTACGCGGTATATTGTTTGTTCACCGTGCAGCCCCACATCGAGCAAACGCAGGCCGTCGTGCTGCAGGGTCTATTGTCTGCGCCCCCGGTGCACGTATGGCCGTGACACACACTCACTATCTAACGGCACGTGTCATCTGTGTGTATGACGCGCCGACAGGTGCCGGGTGGGAGTATAGTGGCCCTGGGACAGATCCATAGCGGCCGGCATTTGGGACGCTATTTTTACATGTGGGCTGCGAGAATGGCTACTGGAGCGTGACGTATTTGTGGGGGCAAACCGAGTCGATACGGGCGCCCCCGTAGCCGTTTTTGTTTTACCGCGTGCGTCATAAGCTTAGCAGATGCGTTTGACCACTTAACAATTGCCTTGGAGGGATTTATTGATATGGAGCTCAAACGGTAGCAGTGTTAGCACGAAAACGACAATTAACAGTCAGGAGTGTGCCTTAGTTGTTATGAAACCGCCAATGGGTGTCACGAGCAGACTCTAGTAGCATTGCCAGACCCATTTCGCATTTAAATGGAATTCGCGTGGATTGCCAAACTGTAGAGTGTAGAATGTAGATATACTTGATTGTAGCGGCTCGATGTGCCTCGTTTGCGACACTTGGTAAACGGCTCGTGACCTTGTCCGCCGTATCTCAGACACTGACCTAACGATGGTGCTCCCGCCTACAGTTCTACAGAAAGGTGGCCATTTGGTTGACGAACCTGGAGAATCCGCGGACTCAGACAGAGTACGAGGACAGCTTCACGTTCAAGATGTTCTCCTTCCAGTTTGTCAACTACTACTCCTCTCTCGTCTACATCGCCTTCTTCAAGGTACGATGCAATGCAGACGATTTCACTTCCCAAAGATACCTGGCAATGAACAGTACCCAACACGCTTCTAATCTGTCAATAAGGCTATGGAATATGAATGTAGCGCCTTTGGTCATCAACCCCTGTCCCACCGATCCCCAGAACCGCTTCTACACATACCCGGGCCAGGAGGACTACGACAAGAACATGCTGAAGCGGACGCAGGCGGACGTCTGCGACCCCGCCGGCTGTCTCTTCGAGCTCTGCATCCAGCTGGCCATCATCATGATCGGAAAACAGGTCCTCAGCAACTTCATCGAGATCCTACTACCGTGAGTGGTGTCTCGTGTACTACACCCACTGACTGCTTCATCCAGCGAAATAAATTGACGTTAATTATCAATATTCAAGCCTGAATGCCTTGGCTTGGTACTGTATAAACTGATCCAATCTTTTCAAGGTTATGCAATCAGTAAGAATTTAATTTGGTATATCCAGCTCATTATGCGTAAGCGTTGCACATTAATCATCGTTCGTGCCGAGGCGTGTATCGATCCAATTTCACGGCCGGCGATCTGATAGTGAGCCTGGCTGTGATAGTTCCCCTGGCGGCCTGTACACGCCCGTCCGTCCCTGAGTCATGGCCCAAGCAGCGGCAGCGAGCCCCGTGCCCGTATGTGCGTGTATCGATTGGACGCCAATACAGTACCGATGCGGGTGGAATGTCAGTGTCGGCGCATACTGAACGCTATGGCCTTGACCGCCAGTAAAATAATGAACTGGTGGCGGGCGCGGGCGTCGCTCAACAAGGTGGAGGGGACGAAGGAGCTGTACACGCGCTGGGAGCAGGACCACGACCTCCAGGGGCTCGGCACGCTGTCCCTGTTCGAGGAGTACCTCGAAATGGGTAAGATCATCGACCAGTTTAAGATTATGACTGGCGCATACATAGTGATCCTGCTATTTTTAGCATAGTTCAGAGAAGTATCGATATCTCATAACCTTTCCTGGGACACTTCATTACGTGCGCTGTCGTAAATAAAATCTTACTTCCCGCGCTATGTAACATTTACATTGGAGTGCTAAGGTACCCGGTCGTCTCCAATTTCAATTCCAAAAAGGATGTCCTTTTAACCAGCTCAGAAACGCCAAAGGCTGACATATAGAGGAAATGTCCTCAGAATTGTGCCTTCCCCAGGAAACCAGTCAAATCCATCTAACATCTCCTCACCGTCACCATCTCGTATCGCTCCCGCAGTGATTCAGTACGGATTCGTCACCCTGTTCGTGGCCGCGTTTCCTCTGGCGCCGCTCTTTGCTCTCATCAACAATGTGGTGGAGATCCGTCTGGACGCGTACAAGTACGTGACGCAGACGCGGCGACCGCTGGCGCAGCGCGTGCAGGACATCGGCGCCTGGTACGGCATCCTCCGCGGCATCACCTACCTGGCCGTCATGTTCAACGTGAGTCGCGGACGGGGCCGCCTGGGCGTGGAGGAACTGGAGTGAATCGTGTCAGATTGCGGGCGGCTGGTGTGTGTAGTTTTGTGCATGGAATCAGATATATGATACATGTGCACGTAGTTAGAGATGGAAAGAGTTACTTGATGCCAAGATATAAGTTATCTACGTTGTCAGATAGATGAAATGTCTTTGGGTATCGATGACTTTTGACAGCTACGCTTTTATTTGAATTTGCTGGTGTAAGCGCCTTTATGTACTGCGAGTGCTCTCACAATATAACAAAGAACACGTTTTTCGCTGCCAGGCCCTGGTGATCGCCTTTACGAGTGACTTTATCCCGCGACTGGTGTACTGGTACCAGTACAGCGAGACCGGCACTCTCGAGGGATACATCAACGCCACACTATCAGGTTAGTGAAAAAAAATACATAACCCTTCCATTGTTTTTGTATTTATGTGACGGTTCGTCTAAGCCATTCATAATTACTTTTTATCAATCGTGCCTCAGAATGGCAGTAGTCTCATTCCGTCAATCAGTTGAGAGTGGTCAACTCTGTACTGGCAGCGACTGTTCAGTGTTCATCCACTGTGGGATTGCACACAGCCGCCAATGTCACCACAGAATCGAACGAGTCTGATCGAGCCCTGCACGCAACTGGCATTAGCTATTTACTGGCCAGATGCGGCACAGTCGATAGGTACGGGATCAGCTGCTCAGTGAACGCTGCGCATTCGTCAGTGATCTGAGGACGCTTCCGATTGGTTATGGTGTGATGTCATCGGTGTGACGTCAGAGAACGATGGCGCGACAATTTATCTACACTGCTTCCTCTTATCAGTTGATATCGATTGGTAAATCAAAACTCTTATTACATGTTACATTCAATGCACTACTTTGTTATGGTGCTCACCTGCAGTTGATCGTGACCATGATGCAATGCAAAAAAAAAAAAATCATCTTGTACATGATTGTCTTGGAATGTTGATTGTTTAAATTTTGTAAGAGCGAAAGCCTGGTTGGTTGGTTTTCTTCCTGGTCAACGTTAGCTCAAGTTTCATAACACCAGCTACCTTCCAAACTTAGGCAGTCTACCTTAAATTATTAGCGCAATTTGCAGGGCACGGCAATTTACCCGAATAAATGCCGACTTATGTAAATCGGGATCGCCAGAGTTTACTGTGTTGGAGTACGGTTCCGTCATTAAGTAATTAAAATCGATGAAGGTGATGCAAAGTGCTGACCTTCGATTTAAATCGACATTCCGGGTAAAAGGCGTCGGAGTGATCACCTCTTACATGGTCCATTCCTATTGACTGGTCCTTGATCTATTTGTGCTTTGTTTGATCCGTCTACACAAAGACATTAAACTACTCTACGTATTTTGGTGCCATGCCAAGGCCTAATATTACGGGCAATCGTGATTCCTGTTCTAACGTATTGCTGTTTTGCATCATTTAAATTTCCCAGCTTCATCTTGCTTCGACTGTTGCCATTTCAAGAAAATTAGGCATAAAAATGGCATCACCAAGCTATTTGGTTCATACTTGGCATCGCGAACAAACGCTTAAAGGTAGTGTGCCACCTTTGAAAGATTTCCCATTTTATTTTTCCTAGGATAAGAAGCTTCTGTTTTTACCTAATATCGCAAAAAAATCAAAAATGGGCCTGGAATAGTGCCTTTTTCGCCTAAAAGTTTATCGGTTTTTCGATATGTATAACAACTGTAGTGGGCTGAGCTGCAAACAGGCGTCGGCAACAATCGCGAATGCGGCGCACATGTGACAATAAGCAAAGGTCATTAGAGAGTTACGACCATACGATGTACGGGAATGAGTTATCAGCTGTCTAATCGTAGACAACACAATGTCGAGCCTTACTGTAAGCCTGTATTGGTATTGTTTCTTTTATTTGGCTGTCGAACATTATTTATGGTTTGAAATATAATTTTATGTAAAATAATTGATATGAAAAAGCCGTCTCTTAAGTTATGACCCCATTTCACCACACGCAAGTGGCAGAAATGACAATGATCAGCTGACGCATTTTTCTTGGCCGAAGTCAGAGCGCGCGGCCCGACGCACCACCACCGCACCACAAAGTATGAGCAGAAGCCGCGCCCAAAGCCAGGGCCCCGGTAACGTGAGGTAGCCGAGTCGGGGCAGCGTGCGCTGACCCAAGCCGGGGCCGCAGCTTTGGGCGCGGTCTACCGCATCCCCGCAGGCAGCCCCGGGCTATCACATGACACCGGGAGGACGCGCGGCCCCGGCTTGGGTCAGCGCACGCTGCCCCGACTCGTCTACCTCACGTTACCGGGGCCTTGGCTTTGGGCGCGGTCTACCGCACCGCCTAACAGGCGTGTTCGAAACCGCAGGAGATAATGATGAACGGGTTTATCGAAACTTGATTGGATGAGCATATCGGTAATAGCGATTTCAGTGTGTGCATTTATTGTTCATAGTGGTGTGAAATGTGGTTGGGGTACGACCGACAACCCGTCGGGGCGAATTTCGCACTTGGGTACTCAAAATTTGAAGAATTTAAGACGTTTCCATGAGTTTTGAAGGTATGGAAAAGTTCGAAAAATCCGGTTCTCCTTATCTGGGCCATTAACTCCATACGGTCCAGGAAAGCTGGCACACTACCTTTAAAAAATAGCATATGGACTCGGCAAATGAGCGCGGTAGTAAGCTAGCGTAATCAAACATAAACCGCATAGATCAAGGCGCATAAACTGTATGTATGGTGAAGCAATGCAACATAAGGTCAAGCTGCGTGGTCGATGCTTTTATTCGTGATGCGAACCCGTTTACGTTTTACATCATCGTTATCAGCAATGTTACAGCACTAGTGCGTGCATATCACAGGCCATCACATGCAGATATGGTAATGTCTTTGTGCCGCCGTGTCACCAAGGTACCCTCGCCCGCACATGGGGGGGTGGTTGCCCCCCCCCCCCCCCAGGTAGTCTTTCTGCTCTGCACTCAACATTTTTAGAGCTAGAAGGCTGATTTTTCGTATAGCTGCTCCTCTATCCTTTCTTGATGTCCACTGAAAATTTCAAGTTTCTGTGACTTTTGGTTTCGGAGATATGACCTTGTTTTTCAGGTCATGTCATGACCCAAATGGCCAATTCTCGACATCTTGCGTTGGCTATGGGCCTTGTGAGCTTTTGACACCTTGATTTCGGCCTTTTTTACCAGTCTTACCTCCCACCTATCATGGAACATGTTGTTCGACGATGTACAGATGTCAAGGTCAAGGTCAAGGTCAACTTAGGTCATCTAAGATAATTGCGTTTTAGGCAAGTGGAATTTACTTTTTGTGAAGTTTTTTGACTGCATTTTTGGTAAAAGCTTCTCAGATCATGATTTCATGTAGGGGAAGTTGGGGGAACGCCGAATACTTTTTTTCTGACGCCCGTAGCACGCAAGGTAGACAACATAGGCTATTCTTGCTGGCGTCATTCGAGAGGCCAGTCTTTTGTCTTTCAAACATACCAGGCGCATTTGATGAATTCGCATACCGTTAAGCGCAAAAACTAAAAATATCAAAGAACTGACTTTTTCGGCGTTGCCCCGGACTGCGGGGAAAGCCGAAAATGGGATAAATGATCTACGAGGAATGCCGACATTGATGTTTTGCCAATTTATCTCAAACTTAATCCAAAATTCATCAAAGCTGACACGCGTTTTAAGAGCTTGAGGACGCTTGGTGCACACTGGAAGTTATAATTGTGTGATATAATAAGAAAATGCCAGATAAATCATTCCTTATAGGTAACAGGCCGTTGTGCCGGCTGAAAGTGTAATTTGTTTGACTAAAAATACGCGTTGCTATTCTACAGCAGTAAAGTCCACGTAGCGTGCTTTAACGTGCGTAATTGCACGTTTTCGGCATTACCCCAGCCAGCCATACTTTCATTTGCAGGCCCATAACTTTTAAACGTGCTGTATAAATTTCAAATAGGCAGCACACTTATGCAAAGACATGCTGAAGATTACTTGACCGAATTGGCCAGACAAACGGTAGCATAATGAGTAAGATATGCAGCTTCAAAGGCGCATGTAGTACAAGGGAAACGTACCTTGAAAACGCTTTTGGCGCCCTCACAGCCGAAGTATTCCAAATGACGACTCGTAACAAACATGCGATAATTGTAGTCACTTAAGCCTCAGAGCATCACTGAGACGTGGCATCCATGTCGTACGGTTTTAGAAATATCTCGAATTTCGGCTTTGCCCCAACTCCGGCATTGCCCCAACTTCCCCTAATATGGACACATAAACAATCGGTGCACACATCAGTATACACACAGACACACACAGACATACAAACACATATAATTGACCTTGACCTAACTTGACCTGAAATGACCTCAGCAGCAAAAACCTGGTCGGGTAGTGTGAGAAAGAGGTTCTAGCTGGCTTGGCACCAGAAAACGGCATCGTCATCGGTATATGATAAGCAGCGCACTTGATATCAAACGGTGACCCAAAACAGCAACATTTTTTAGTTTGACCTGACCTGGAAGGTCAATGACTGACCTGAGAAGGTAAAACTGGGTATCATTGGATTCGTCTCTTCCCAAAGAATCTTTTTGGTCCTTACCGCTAAGCTCTATCTCCAACAGGAACGAAATGGCGCGGGGGGTGGCAACCACCCCCCCCCCCCATGTGCGTTCTAGGATGGGAAAATGGCATGTGCGGGCGAGGGTTAATGCAAGTCCATCTGTGTACGAATACGAGGTTCTCTTCGGATGCACAGACGTTATCACTAGTTTATTTTTATTTAAAAAAAATTAGGCCAAATGGTGGAGTGGCATGAATTGTCTGATACCGGGATCCACCTAAGCGTACATACATACGTACTAGCCACGGACCTGACGATGCTTCGACTAAGCTCGGTATATACACGTCGGGTAGAGATGTCACGTAATTTGCCACGCTTGACGCGTAGCCACTGCCATGCTAATATTCTGGAAATACAAAGCTTGCCGCTGCTGGCTTTAGTTATGCAGTGACTAGGTAACAGAAGGATTAAAAATGCTTAACACCATCTGGTTACTTGCGTGGAGATGCGTTGAATGAAAAGGCATTAACAGCACGCATACGTAGTTAATCTGGAAGCTTCGCAACGCAACTTTCTGTTGACGTGATATCGTAAAAATTATATGTAGTCTGAACTTGAAGAGGACACGTAGCTGTATACCCTCAGCATGTAATGACTGCCTCCTTCCATTGCAGTGTTCAACACTGCCGACTTTCCGCCGGGCTACGAGCCGGACCCGCAGATCGACAACAGAACGTACGAGACGTGTCGGTACCGCGGCTACCGTACGCCTAACGTCACCGGCGAGGAGAACCCCTACTCCACCAACATGATGTACTGGCACGTGTTCGGCGCGCGACTCGCCTTCGTCGCCGTCTTCGAGGTGAGCGGAGCGTCGGGTCAGGTCGGAGGTCAGGTTTTCCTGGCTCTGAACAAAAGTGGAAAATTTTCTTATAAATGAATTCCTGTAATTTATTGTTATCATTAGTATGCGTCAACAAATAATAGGGGCGCAATATAAAATTAATTAGCACATCAGAGCCCCATTCCATCCAATCAAGATTTACAGGATATGTCGCATGTTCGTCAAATTTCGTCCCTGAGGCTACGTCACGCTCCAGTCTCAGTTCTCAGACTGACTTTCCGCCCCGCCGCCGTCTCCGTTTCAGCACGTCGTTATCGGTCTGACGGGGATCATAGCATATGCCATCCCTGACATTCCCGGCACGGTGAAACTGCAGATCAACCGGGAACGGATGCTGGACCGAGAGGCCCAGTTCGAGGCCGAAATGTACAGGTGAGAGCCTGTCAGCGTGTCGGGACACTCCGGGCAATGACATTTTAGCCGTTTTCACGACGGGCTATCTGGCGAATGCACCTTTGACCAAATCTACACCAAATATCTTTTCATGAATTTATTTCAGTGTTCTAACCGAACAACAGCTGAGCCTAATTTGACCAAACCTGCACCAAATCTGCACCTAACTACTGCACCAAATGTGTACCAGATGGCCGTCGTGAAAACGACAATTATTGTTCAAGGAATGTGTGTTTTCATAAGCATGTCCTCCGACCTCAAACGATAGCAGTTTACACGTATTTTTGACTAAAGTGTTCCTTAATGCATGTGTAAATTTATTTCTAATCTTATATAAGTAGCTAAGGACGTCGCTGGACGTTGAAGTCCGTGCGGCCCTGGGGGCACCGCCCACCAGTGTCGTAACATTGATTGTCCCTAGTACGCGCTACTCCAGCGAACGGGTCAATTTCCTGCGTCCTCGGTACCCCGTGACAGACCACAAATCCATAGCGAGTAGCATGGCTCCGATGACCCACTCAGTCAAACCCTTCCCCAGTCACGTGGGCTCGCTGCCAAGGAAGTTATCAGCAGTTAGCCTCGAAAGCTAGGCATGCACAGAGCCGTGCCCTTTGGTAGATGCCAGGTATATTATTAATGTGCTCTGAACTGTCACGAAAACCAATTTCGTTTCCTCGTAAAGGAAGATTGAGGTGCGATACGCTATGTCAATATCTGGAAGGTTCTGCACCATGCAAAGGACATGACCAGTGAATTGGAGATGGGAAACTGACCTGTTGCGAAACGAATCAGTTATTCGCAGATATTATCAAAGGTATGCTAGGAGTTCGCTTTACAATCCTATGTTTAAATGCCTCTGAGCACGTAGCAAGCCAATCATTCAAATAAGCACATGAAGATTAGAAATGCCGAATACCATGGTCCAATCTTCATGTCATGTTAATGACATTATACCGTTTTTATATGCCTTCTACAGGCTGAAGAAGGAGCGGGAACTGGCGGAGACGGAGGCTCGCCGGATGTCGGCGGCCCGCGCGCCGTCCGGGGCCTCCTGGACCGGATCGAGACTCTCCAGTCGGAGGAACAGCCACCGACCTCCAATGGACTACGCCGGCTGACCGCTGACCCGCCACGGTATACCACACGACTGAGGTATCCGAGGTGTGGGTTTGGACATTAGGGCTGGCGTTGGGAGAAACGACGCTGCATTAGGTGTAGGGGCGGTATGATTGTCAGTGGGTATCAACATCTGACAGATTTTGTATGTGCCATGTCAGACGTGACAATTGTCTGACAGCAGGACGAGTTGCCGTCCTTCTTGTGACACTGACATCTCTAGTGATGTGTGTGTGGAAATAATCCCACTGTGAAGTGGGAAATAATAAGGAACTGAATTGTAACGCGTGATAAGGGATGATGGTGATAGTCGAGTCCAGCAATATAATCTAACAGGGACAGAACGCGCGGCGCAGTGACGTATTTCTGTTAATGTGTCGTCCTTGTCGTCCCTAGTCCCTGGTTACGTGTTTTATGGATTTTGAGGTCCCACCCGTTGGCTCTCGTATATGTACGGGCGTGAGGGTATTGACAGCGTCTTTGGTGCGAAGGGTAATTGTCTATTTTGGGTACTGTGTTATTGATTTAGGAAGTGCTGGTTTAGCCATGCTCGTAAGTTCGACAATTTCTGCTACTTGTTTAATGCACGGACATATATGGGTTAAAAGAGGTGTAAAAATTGAGACATTTGTCTAAAGGAGGCAGATAAGTACAGTATTATGCGTAACTTGTGTAGGATGGTGTTGACAAATATTTGCTTTGGGTGCACATATGTGAAACAGATGCAGTTATTCCTATTACCGTTTAGGTTTTGTGAATGTCTAAATATATTGTGATATGTACATAATTGTTGGTGATTGTTACATATCAGTACCTGTATTTAATATTTATCTCACCAAAGGTAGTGAATGACGAATTATTGTGGGAATCAGCAATTATTTTTGTACAGATTGTGGAAAATTACGATTTGACTGAAGTTATACTTTGTTGGATACTAAATGAATGATGATTGCTGTTCAGCCGTGATCATAAGTGGTAATAAGTTGGTAAGCGTAAACAAATTATATCCGTCCAATCACGTCTATCCTCGGCGACAAATAATCATCTGGTGCAAATATTGTCATTGCCAAATGTTTACATGAATATACTGCACATTCCGTCGCCGCTGTTTGTTCCGTATCGCGTATAAAATGCATAACTACACCCGACTGGCTTGTTTACTACCATAACTCCAAACCTTACGACTCCAATGACAGGCATTTGACAGTTGACGATCGAGCCCACTGGCCCGCTCGGCGCGGGTGGCATGGCTCTCACTCGTCAGTGCTCGGGGGAACCTTTTTGGACGGACCCCTCCCCCTCCCCGCTGCTGGCAGCGACAATGTCTGACCGGCTACCGGCTGTTCCGCCGACGGCCGCTCTAAATGCCGCTCTATCGATACGGCTCGGCAGTTAGCGCATGACGAGTGGAGGTGTTGACGGGCGGGGCGAGTCCCTCCCCTCCGTCCCCTCCCGCCGCGTCCGCTGCCGGTCCAAAGCGCCGCCGCCGACCGCACCCAACCGGCGCCATCCTACCGCATCCACGCACCTGATAAAATCTCCATACCAATAACAGCGGAAACAATAGCGCACCCCAGCTACAGCTCGTGCCGGGTGGGTGATGCTTTTCAATCGCAGAGGCGGCAATGGGTTCGCATTTTCCGGAGGAATTCCAGTTTCACACACCGGTTGTTAGGAGACCAGCCGGTGAGTGAAATCGACTACCAGACTGGGTATCACTAACAAGCTCTCCCGGGCGGTGTCCGCACTGGCTGGTCGCCTTCCGGTCTGTCCGAGGGGACGCCGGGGGACTGACTATCCGGGGGTCGGCGCCCTCCGCTGCCACCGCCCCTGGATGGACCGGGGTCTATCCGTGCCGCGCCCGCAGTGGTGGCGGTGAGAGCAGAGGGGAAACATGGCCAGGGTGCCACTGCTGGTCACGGTGCTGGTGATCGCTGTGAGGCTGACGAGGCAGGAGACAGTGGGAGAGACGACGGCTAGTGTAACCTCCACTGAGCCGGCTGATGCGCAGACTACCCTAGGAACGACTGTTCCAAGCGTCACTGAAGAACGGGAGACGAGCCACACCACCACAGAATCTCAGCAGACCAGCGGCGATGGCACCGAGGCCCCGCAAACCGTCCGCGAGACTACAACTCCGTCACCAGTGAACAAAGAAGAGCCTACAGGACATTCAACACCGTCAGAAGCAGATACATCCGAGCATACTTCTCCTTCGGATGAAACAGCCTCTGCCACAGCACGCTCAATACCAACTGGAATCGATCCCGGGTTGCTGACTCCTCCATCCACGAGTGAGACAGAATCAGTACCGAGCACACGAGACGATGACTCACAGTCGGGCCGAGTCGAGTCTGAGGACGGCGAACAGTCTGACTGCGACTTCTCCGAGTCGACGTGCTGGTGGCGATTGGACGGAGCGCCCTACCGTCACTATAGCTGGAGGCGGGGCGCGCCCGAGTCTGCCTTCTACCTGGGAGGTCCCACCACGGACGCCGGAGGAGGCGAGGAGGGCGCCGACCAGGGCTACGTCTTTGTCGATGCGTCTGTATTTAGAGACGTGTTTCTCCCGGACTTTTACATGAGCGCTTGGCTGACGTCGCCGGTAAGGCCGCCGCCCGGGCCGGTAGGACGATGTCTGCGGTTTAAGTACAGCTCTGTCGGAACCAGTGTGAGAAGTCTGCGAGTGCTGAGAGTGGATCATGTGCCGACCATTCAGCCAAACCACACTTCTTGGCCTCGTGAGAACGAGCCAGGGTCTACAGAGATGCCGGCGCAGTCGAGAAACTTTACCGAAAATTTCGATAGTGTTGTGAATACCACCAGTCGGGACTACGTTGTCCACAAACAGAACATGACAGAAACACTGTGGGAAGCTCGCGACTCGACTGATGGTGCATGGAAGGAAGGCAAGATCTCTTTCAACACCGGCTTCGAGCACCGACTTGTGTTCGAGGTGGTGCCGCACCTTCCCTCGCCGGCCGGCCGAGCGTACGTCGCCATCGACGATGTTTCCCTCGCTGAAGGTGCGTGTGACAGCGACTGCAACTTCGAGAAGGATCTCTGCAACTGGATCAACATGGACGAGGGTGACGACTTTGACTGGCAGCTGGGCCGCGGCAGCCGGAGAGGCGTCACGGGCCCCATTAGAGACCAGAGCAGCTCACACTCGGTCAGCCGCGTCGGCGGGTACGCGTTCATCGACTCGTCTCACCCGCGCCGATCGGGAGACATCGCCAGACTGGAGAGCGCCGTCTTCGAGACGCCGGACCCGCTCTGTCTCAGCTTCTACACAAACATGTTCGGAGCGGGCGTGGGCCGTCTTTCAGTACGAGAGGTATCCGGCGGGGAGAACCCGACCGCCAAGGTGCTGTGGAGCGTCTCTGGAGGCTCGGGGTCGCCCCTCAGCTGGGAGCTCGGCAGGGTGACTGTGGCCTCGCCGAACCGCTTCATGGTCCAGCTGGAGGCGGAGATTGGCGAGCCGGACGCCGCCGATATCGCTGTCGACTCCATTCGAGTGGAGCCCGGAGCGTGTCCGACGGTGCCGGCCTCGGCAGGCCGTGTCGACGCCAGTTGCCACTTCAGGGACGACACGTGTTCGTGGGAACTGAGCAGCACCGGTCGGCGGCTGTGGTCGCGCGCGCCTGGCGGGCACATCGCTCTCGGGTCGCCGCCGCTCCAGCCGGCTGACCACTTCCTCAGCTTCGACGTGGACGGGTACGAACACCAGGCTGGTGCGAGGGACACCGTGCTGTCGCCGGTAATCCGCGCACGACCGCTGGCCTGTCTCAGCTTCTGGGTTTACGTGGCGTCCCACATCGCCAGCATGCCGAAAATCGGCAGCCTTCAAGTCCTTCACATCAACGCCACCAGCAACGACACCCGGGCCATCTGGAGGGTGAACAATCACCTGCGTCACGGCTGGGTGCTGGCCCAGGCACCGTTCCCGGCCGACACGCCCGTCAGACTCGCCCTGGAGGCGGTCCGCGGGTCGGGCGTCAGCGGCCTGCTCGGTGTGGACGACGTGGTGGTCCACGAGGGCGACTGTGCCGTCCTGCCGCCCGCCGCGGCCGTCTCACCGTTCGACTGCTGGTTCGACGACGGGGAGTGCCGCTGGACAGTGACGTCACCGGCGGAAGGAGCGGAGACCTGGCGCTCGGCGGCGAGTGGAGCGGGAATTCCGCAGCTTCTCGACCACACGCACCGCGTCGAGACCGGGTACGAGTACTTTGACCCGTTCAACCAGCGCTCCACGGCTCGGCTCGTCTCTCCCGAGGTGCCAGCTTCCACCCAGCTCTGCGTCAGCCTGTGGTACACCTGCCTGGGCGGTGTGCAGCAGGACGCATCGCTCTCACTGCGGCGCCAGCTCGGCTCTGACAACAGCACCACTGAGCTGCTCTGGCAGGTCACCCAGGGTCAGACGGGTCACACCGGCCGCCGCTACACGTGGCACTACGGCCAGGTCCAGCTGCCCTCCGCCGAGGACACGGCGCGGATCGTAATCGAGGCCATCGGCATGCAGGCCGGCTTTGCAATCGATGACGTCAGAGTGGTCAGTGGTGAGGTGCCGTGCCCGACCAGGCCCGAGTGGGGGCGCCCGGCGCCGCCGGAGTGAACTAGTGGTTCGTCAGACTGTCGCCAGGGGGATGCAGGTCGATTGAGGAACTCTGTTATAGGAGAACTCAGAGAACTCAGCACTGTGCTTTGCCTTCGGTTGACGGTGGTGATTGGTAAAGAAGTCATTCTGAAGCTTGGGCTATCCTGAGGGAGGTGAGCAGGCTTCGATTTATACGGCAGAAGATCAATATTGATTTGTGTAGGCATAATACAATAAATAGGAAAGCAGAGTTCAGCTTATATACCGGCGATGTGTATATACCGACAAGTGTCTACCGTCCTTGCAAGGTTATTGTTGACAGTGCATTGTGCGCATAAACCATTAAACCCCATGTTTACAGTTTCGGTGTGTGAATAGTTGGAGCTAATTCTGTAAAATACATTTTGTAACAGTACCAAAAGTCGTTATGCATGAGCATGTCATTTGCAGTAAGACATGCCAAAAGAGTGACCAGATGAAGCTGTTAACATGTGATACCGGTACTTTGGTATTGGTCGCAAGTACTTACTGTTATTTTTATTTCTTTTTTGCCATGGACTTATGTATGAACATAGCGCTCATAGCGTCTCAGATCTTCTCCACTGCAGACATCATCTGAGTGAGTACGAACATCATTACAACCTTAAGTCATTGTGCGATACATTTGGAATAATCCTTTTTAAAGGATACCTACCTATAAGTGTAAGAAGAAGCTACATCCAGGTCCTCATCTTGGCGCTGAACTAAGAGAGAAATGTGTGCTCTTGCATGATAAACATCACATGACTGCAACGTCAATTAACACTGAAGCACAATTGACGACTGTATCATCAGTCACGTCGGTAATCGCATTCCACAGTTCACTAGTGGCTACCTTCCTCCATTTCGTGATAAGCTTGGCAGGTCAAATTTGTAGGTACAATATATCGAGTGCGCCGAACATTTAGAGGACTGCTTACTTCGCTGAATGTGGAGTGTCTTGCCGGCACACCACTCTTCGGGCAGTTAGTTGTGCTTGCATGCCTAAATCTGGGCTGATGTCATCAGCGTAATAGCACGTTCCGGAACAGATGTCACATCGAAACGGCATGCCTAGGCTCCAGTAATCATCAAAATGGTCCTTTCATGTCTGATTTGATGCTTATCCATCCGTCGTATTCACTCTTAATCGTTTTAAAAGCCCACAGAAAAGCCGATCGGTAAGACGGAGCCGAGCTTTGTGTCATGCGGTACAGCATAACTACAGGCGTTTACCACTAACGCCATCTATGTGGACTAGGCAGTACTTCAATATAATGTGGGGTCGCTACTCGCGCTGTCAGCTGTTGAGTTACCTTCGCGCGGAGGAGTGGGGAGGGGGGAGGGGCAGTGGGACAGAAGAACTTACCTTTCAGGGTGTCCTTGTTCTCACCGCCTCCCGATGTCTTTTGGCATAGCTCCAGTACCACCGGCACATTTTCCATTGCCGAATTACCAGCAACTTCAATTACTGTGGCTTGAGCAATATGCCTTATGCACGACGAATGCCAAATATGGCGTGTCTACAGCTGATTCAGATTACATTACCATGCCTCGACCTCAAGCTGGAAAGCGACAGATCTTCTTTCTTGAACGCACGTCTGCTCGTGACCAATCTATTCCACTCAGAACACACCGTCCATACCCACAAACTCAAACAAAACACACGGCCGCGAGCTCCCATTGCAGCGTCTCTCAGCACGTCCCCCTTGCCCTGCCGCCCGCCGCGCTGCCTCGCCGCCGCCGGCCGCTCGCACTAGTCACGTGACCAATCGCCTGAGGGTGGACGAACAGCGCCGCGGTTCGCTCGACGACTGTCACCACTCGGGGCGGTATATAGATAGGGCTTTGCTCGGGACTGCCTTAGGCGGGCGAGCACAGGTGCCTCCTCTCGTTGCTTGAGACGGGATGGACTTTTTTGCCCCACTGAAGGTTTAGGTTTTTCCTTGGATGGACTTTTAAGCTGAATAACTTTAATTCGAAACGAGTCACTGACAACATCGATGCAAGTTAACCATATCTTAGTCGTTATGAAACTACAATAAAATGATGCAAAAATAAAGAAACCATTAACGAACACAAATCAGAGTGTCTTTAGTCTTTACGCAAACCGATCGTGGATTGTTGATTGATGTGTGACCTCTATTAGGAAAAGTGGTCAGGTTATTCAGCGTCCCTCTGCGGAGAAAAATAAATGTGGCTCGGTAATTTATGATTGTTGACGAACCATCTGCCGAACATAGCTTGCCAAAGTTAAATGGTGGCACCTCACCAATCTTCGCCTGTCCGGAAATCGTTATTCTTGTGAAGATAACGTAACTGATTATGACATTTCCCATTAAAATTTAATTGATAAAACTTTT